AAAATCTATAAGGCATAACTCTTGAGTCTTCAACATATTTAAAATCCTATCAAGAACCTTTCAAGGAGGAATCTTAGTAATCAGTTTCTCTGCTGTCATCCAACATGTCTGGAACACAGGAATAATTAGGCAGTGAACCCTCCACAGCACCTCTACGGAATGAAATGTCACTACGTCTCTACAAGCTCCTCGTGGCTTTATCAAATAAAACAGGAGGAGCCACCAGCTCAGCTCAGCCTGAGGTGGAGGAAGAAGGCCTCAGAGACACTGACAGACAGACAAAGTCTACGCATCCTCTGCTGTCTGTAGGTAAGCATCCACTAACTAGGAACGACGGGATCTTGGCCTATTAACTACACTCTACCCTGTGGCCCGGAGAACGCAAGCAAGAAGACAGATCTGCACAACTTATGCATGATCAATAACTAATTATTCACAAAGCTAACACCAGGCAACAAGCCAAAACTCTACCGAGCACAGGAAAGACACAAAGTCAAGCGATAACCAGACTTAGTGATTTAATTCAGGTCTGAATCGAGATGTCTCTGTTTTCTTCCTGAGGAGTTAATGTGATCCGCCCACACAGAAAACAGACAAACAAAAGTCAGCAGAGCAGGACCCAGGCTGTCGGGAGTCTTCAGTGAGTTTCCCTAGAAACCAAACGTCTTTGGGCCAGAGCTTTTAAACTGCTGTTCTCATTTCAATGCAAAATGAGCTTTCTAAACACAACCAGAAATATGGAACTGCATGGCAAGAAAGACGGAAAAATAACCGTGACAAGCTTCAATATCTTCACCTCCCAAGTTTCACCTCTTTCTTCTCTGGGTGAGTAATTACTGTCAATTATCGCGGAACTGAACAATGCTCCTGCACCGTGCACAGACACAGTGGACCACTTGGAAGGAGGAAGAAAAATAAAACATCACGAAAGTTTACTCCAACTGCAAAAGGAAAAACAACGTGTCAATTCCAGCTGTGAACACGATTGTTTTTCTCCCAAGGTAATAAATGTGTTGCAGGTAAGAAAATGAGTCCTGGTTTGTTTTCTTCCCCACAGCTGCAAACACCACACATGAGACCCGTTTAGAGCTTGTGAGGGACCAAATATTCTAGGCATCGGCGGGCCCCGGGACAGCTTTTCCTCTACATAGCCTACGGAACAACAAGAATGGGATTCATCCTGAACTACAGCCTTTGATATCACTGACGAATGCTCCCGGAGAATGGCTGGGGGTGAGATTACCAAGGGGCCTTAGCTCTATCATCCATGATTTTCAGATGATGAGCTGTTTCCTAAAATACAATCTGTAAGACCGTAAACCTCTTCCAATACTTCTAGTGCACAAATTTAAGTATTTCTCAGGGCCAGCCTTGTAGCACAGTAGGTTAAGCCACCACTTGTGACGCCGGCATCCCATAAGAGTTCCACTTTGAGTCCCAGCTGCTCTTTTTTTTTTTTTTTCTTTTTTTGACAGGCAGAGTGGACAGTGAGAGAGAGAGAAAGGTCTTCCTTTTGCCGTTGGTTCACCCTCCAATGGCCACCACGGCTGGCGCGCTTGCGGCCGGCGCACCGCGCTGATCCGATGGCAGGAGCCAGGTACTTATCCTGGTCTCCCATGGGGTGCAGGGCCCAAGCACTTGGGCCATCCTCCACTGCATTCCCTGGCCACAGCAGAGAGCTGGCCTGGAAGAGGGGCAACCGGGACAGAATCCGGCGCCCCAACCCGGACTAGAACCCGGGGTGCTGGCGCCGCAAGGCGGAGGATTAGCCTAGTGAGCCGCGGCGCCGGCCTGCTCCACTTCTAATCCAGCTCCCTGATAATGCAACCGAGAAAGCAGCGGAAGACAGCACAAGCACTTAGGCCCCTGCCGCCCACAGGGGAGAGCCGGAGGAGTTCCTGGCTCCCAGCTCAGCCTGGCCAAGCCCAGCTGTTGCAGTCATCTGGGGAGCAAAGCAGAGGATGGAAGATCTCTCCCTCTCTATCCCTCAGCCTTTCAAATAAGTCTTTAAAAAGAAGTGTTTATCATAGCCACACAACGTGGCTACAACTGTGCTCTCCATTTTGAAATAAATGTTCCATCATTCTCTTGCCTCAAGAACTGTAGTAAGCAGCTAGGATCCAATTTTTAAAAACATTTTGGGAAACAGAAGAACAACAATGAACTATTAAAGTCTAGGATATCATCAGCGGGTTCAAAAGCCCATGAAGTATTCATGGATGCAGGAAGGAACAAGGAGGGGAGGGGAAGAGAGGAAGAAGACAAGGCTCCTGACCACTACAGATGGCTGCAGAACCGGGAGGGACGAGGCCAGCGACGCCCGGACGGGAGCTCTGAGAGCACAGGAAGCCTCCCGATTCTTAGCAATGCTGCCACTCAGTGTTAACCACCTTGTGTCTTCAACGCTCTCAGCAGTTCTGACAGGCAAGTTCAAGATCAGGTGTGGTTTTCATCTGAGCCGAAGAGGACAGAGGCAGGCGGGGGATCGTCTCTGTGCCTGGCACTAGAGTGGAGGTACTGCCCGGGCAATCAGCCACAAAGCATTAGCTGGGCCACAGACAGAAGCCGGCTGGGTATTTCTCTTTTCTACATGATCCCACAGGATGGACTCACGCCTGCAGGTCACATACAACTCCGATTACAGAAACTCAGAGAGGCAGGCACCAGGAGTCTCAGACGCTGAGTCTTCTTTTTTTTAATGAAAAAATTTATTTATGTGGAAGGCAGATTTACAGAGAGACAGAGAGAAAAATCACCCATCTGCTGGTTCACTCCCCAATGCCCTCAATGGCCGGAGTTGGGCCAGGCTGAAGCCAGGAGCTTCCTCTGGGTCCCCAACATGGGTGCAGGGGCCCACGCATGAGGGCCATCCTCAGCTGGTTTCCCAGGTGCATGAGCAGGGAGCTGGATCAGAAGTGAAGTAGTCGGGACTCAAACTGATGCCCAAATGGGAGGACAGCACTGTAGGCAGCGGCTTAACCTAGTAGACCACAAAGCCAGCCCGAGATTGAGCCTTAACCTAACGGTGAAGAATGGCTCGACAGAGCCAAACTATCTAAAATTTAATGGCCTGAAATGAGTTAGGAAGTTCCATGCTCTCAGCAACAGACAGTGTGGGTTAAAAGCATGAAAGAGAGACTTTTACTTGCCTAATTCAATCTTTGGCTCGTCACTAACTCTGTTTTTGCTGAAAACATCACTCAGTCCATCTGAAAATCTTTTCTAACCTCCCTTGCAGCTAGTGTGGTCATGTGACCTAGTTCTGCCAATGAGATGAAAGCATAGTTTGCAATTCTGTAGGGATGCAGGGAACTCTTTGAAAAGCAAGTGTGTGGCAGAGCGATTTCCCCGTGTCTTTCCCCACCACGGCCTGGAGTACAGGGTGATGCCAAGCGGGGCAGGCAGCACCTTGGAACCAGGATACACAGTATGCTGGGGCAGCACGGGAAAAGGTGACAATGGCACAAACACCCCTTGGAGCAAAATGCAGAGCTCTGAACTCTTCCCTGTGTGCCAAGAGCGAATCTTCTCAAGTTAAATCAAATAAATCGGAGTTTTGGGCCAGTGCTGTGGCGCAGCTGGTTAATGCCTGGCCTGAAGCGCCGGCATCCCATATTGGTGACAAAACGAGACCCGGCTGCTCCACTTCTGATTCAGCTCTCTGCCATGGCCTGGGAAAGCAGTAGAAAATGGCCCAAGTCCTTGGGCCCCTGCACTCACATGGGAGACGCAAAAGAAGCTCCTCCTGACTTCAGACTGGCACAGCTCCGGCCACTGTGGTCAACTGGGGAATAAACCATTGGATGGAAGACCTCTCTTTCTCTCTCTGCGGAACTCTGACTTTCAAATAAATAAATAAATATTTTAAAAATAAAATAAAATAAATTGAAATTTTACATTGTACACAGCCAGTCATATTCCTAACTACTGTAAGACTGATCAAACTCAATAAACTTTATGGACCATGATTTTAAGATTTTAGGTCATGGAATTGAAAGAAAAGAGGTAACAAAATACTTTGTTACTGGTACATCTGGGTCACCTCACTCTTTCCCAGAGCAGCATTACCTGTAAGACTACACACTCGAGGTTAGCACTGTGGCACAGCTGGGTAAGCCACTACCTGTGATGCAGCATTCCATGTGGATGCCAGTTTGAGTCCTGGCTGCTCTTCTTCCGATCCAGCTCCCTGCTAATATGCCTGGGAAAGCAGTGGAGAATGAGCCAAGTCTTTGGGCTCTTGCTACCAAGTGGGAAACCCAGATGGAGTTCTAGGCACCTGGCTTCAGCCTGGCCCAGCCCTGGTCATCAGTCATTTGAGGAGTGAATCAGCAGATGGAAGATTCTCTCCTTCTATTTATCTCCCTCTTCTCTCTGTAATTCTGCCTTCCAAATAAATAAATAAATCTTAAAAAAACAATAGACTACATATTTGTGCATACGTATGTATCTAAATGTTCTCTGTAAAATAATAAAGTCATGAATAGCCGGATTTTTTTTAAAGTTCAAAAATAATTCCAAAGTCCATCCTGACAGTAAGTGAAAAATGTCACTAAGAGAAAGCAGCAGAACAGCTGCCCCAAGGAGGGTCCACGTGGAGAAACCCATGGCTGGAAGCAGAATCCCACGCAGGCGGGGGAGAGGGAAGCGAGCAAGGCGATTTCACTTGACGTTGGCTCTTCATTAGCGTCTCTTGTGTTTCACTAGTTTGTTCTTGTGGGGCGTTCGGCTCTAGGAAGACAAACTGAACAGACCACAGTGCATGTGGGGTAGACGGGATGGATGGGCAGCCACGCATTTCCCACTCAGGGACCGGGTCCCACCAGACTTCCCAGGAGGCAATGGAGGCAGACACGGTAACCCCGCCCCAGGACTGCGCTCTGTGTGTCGGTCAAGCTAGGAAGCTAGGAAAGGGAGGGGGAAGGGACGGGGAGAGCCAGTGAGACGGCAGGAGAGGGGGCAGTAACGGGTGTCTGGAGAGCCTGCACAGGGCCACCTACTGGTTGAACAGGATCCGTGAGCGCACGATGAACTTGAAGATGTACTCTAAAGCTTTCATAGCTTTGTACAGCTGGTCGTTGATTCCTGGCTTCTCTGCATTGTCCACGTAGTTCCTCAACACTTTTGTCAGCTTCCTGTGTGCAATGGAAACACAGTAAGGAGAAGCGCAGGCGACTACAATACCTCAATCCCTAACTCAGAAAGAAATTTGCAGTTATTTTTAGCTTGGTTCCCACTTGGTACATGCATATTCATAAAATGTTTTCTAATCACATGAATCGAGTGATAAAACATTGCTCAGAAGTGCAAGGTCTGGGCAAACAGTAGGCACGTGCTGCACATTCGCTGTTGTTCCGAGCATTTCATGTAACATCGGAGCTAACGTCTGCAGCCACAGGACGCCGGAGTGGGAGGAGGCCGGAACTCCAGGAGGTGAGCTGGCTTTCCCGATGCTAAAGAACAAAACCAAAGGGACTTGCAAGGGAGCTCAACAGAACCACAAACTGTTTACTCAAAAATGCTCTCTGGCAAAGATGACCTGGAATCAGGTAGGTGATGGGTTTTCAGCACCGTGGATGTGGTAGATGTGAGTGACCACACACCGCAAACACGTGAGCAAACTGTCCATGTGGTACCACAATAGAAAAGGACAAGTTCTCGCAAAGAACCTCAGCCATCCATGTTCATTTTACTTGATTTTCCATATCTAGTTTGCTAAGACAAGTTCTTACACAGCATATAGAAATTTTTGAGGGAATTTTTTGAACAGAAAACGTTCTCATATTTCAAAGAATTATGTAAGACTCTTTATATAAAAAGGTAGAAACAATAAACGAGGATACTTAAAGGATTTAGAAACATTTTTTATACTTCCTAGAATTCCCCAAAAAGATTATGCATTGAAAGCATAATGATCATACTCCTCTTAGTTTGCATGATTCTAAGTTGTGATCAAAAAACAAGCAACTCTCTAACTTGAAAACATTTGAAACATTCCTCATAATAAATAACTTTTCACAATGTATAACACACAGAAACTCATCAGAATTATATTTAAAATTTTCCATTCCACACGGACATAATAGGCAGTTCATACAAATAGATTTTATATTAGATACCAAAATTAAGTGCTGAGTTCATAGATACATTTTTTTAACATTTTGGGGAAAAATGACAATGATTAATATTTTTCTATTTTGCTATAAGTCAAATGATAAGAAAGTTGCAATGATAAATAATTACTCAAACCTTCAGGATACATGAGAAAGTTAACTTAAATGAAAAAACTAGAAACATCTTTAAAAACAATCAATTTCATTAACAAAAAACATGGCAATTAAAATAACAAGAAGTCAAATGTTTGCTTCATCAACTGGGGGGATGTCATTTTTGCCTCATGATTGGGGAAGTCAAGACTGCTGATGGGAAAACAGGTATGATACTTTGTAAGAGTATAAACCAGCCATGTGGGTTACAAAATCAGCTGGCAACATGTTAGGATGCAAACTTCAAATCCTCTGAGACCAGCAGTTCCATTCCAAGTTACCTGTCCTAGAGAAACTATTGCAAATGCATTACATTATCTTAATTGCAGCATTTTCTCCAGTGGTAAAGACATATAAACAAAGACATGCCATCATGTGAGACTGGCTACGTAAACTATGATCCAGCCCTAAAATGGATTATTGCACAGTTGGAAAAGGCAGAGGTTAGAGGAGAGACTGTCATCATTGACATCGGAGGGAAGGCCGTTTATGCTGCAAGAACCGTGGTTATAAAACAGAAGGTTTGAGGCTGGCGCTGTGGCGCACCAAGTTAAGCCGCCACCATCCCATAAAGGAACTGGTTTGAGATTTGGCTGCTCCATTTCTGATCCAGCTACCTGCTAATGTGCCTGGGACAGCTGCAAAAGATGGCCCAAGTCCCTGGGACTCTGCACCCATGTGGGAAACCCAGAAGAAGCTCCTGGCTTCAGTCTGGCATAGACCCAGCAGTTGAGCCATTTGGGGAGTGAACCTGTGGATGAAAGATCTATCTCTCTCTCTCTCTCTCTCTCTCTCTCTCTGTCTCTTCATCTCTCTGTAACCCTGACTTTCAAATAAATAAATAAATAAAAAGAAGGTGGTTTAAAGTGGGTAATTCTGTATACGATATTCTCTGCCATTGATCTTTTTATCTCCCGTTATTCCAGTGCCATACTACCTTGGTTACTGAAGTTTTATAGTAAGCCTTGAAGTTTGGTGCTTCTGAAAAACTGGGCAATTGTAAATATTTTGTATTTTCATAAACTATAGATGTTTTTGTTAGAAAAACATGGTAGGGGGAGCCTAGCATTGTGGTGTAGCAGGTAAAGCAATGCTTGTCATGCCAGCATGCCAAATCGGCTCGAGTTCTGTCTGCTCCATTTCTGATCCAGCTTTCTGCTAATGGCCTGAGAAAGTAGCAGAAGATGGCCCATGTGCTTGGTCCCTTGTTCCCACAGGGGAGATCTAGAGCAAACTCCTGGCTCCTGGCGCCAACCTGGCTCAGTCCCAGCTGCTGCAGCCACTTGGGGAGGGATTTCTTTCTGTGGGAAGATCTTTCTGTGACTTTGTAACTCTGCATTTCAAATAAATAAAATAAATCCTTTTTTAAAAATGCTAGGATTTATGGGGCCGGTGCTGTGGTGCAGTGGGTTAAAGCCCTGGCCTGAGGCACCGGCATCCCATATGGGTGCCGGTTCTAGTCCCGGCTGCTCCTCTTCCCATCCAGCTCTCTGTTGTGGCCTGGGAGGGCGGTGAAGGATGACCCATGTCCTTGGGCCCCTGCACCCGCATGGGAGACCTGGAGGAGGCTCCTGGCTCCTGGCTTCAGATTGGCACAGCTCCAGCCGTTGAGGCCATTTGGGGAGTGAACCAGTGGATGGAAGACCTCTCTCTCTGTCTCTACCTCTCTAACTCTTTCAAATAAATAAAATAAATCTTAAAAAGAAATGCTGGGATTTTTTTTATTGAGATTGCACTGAAAAGACTGACTAACTTGGAGAAAATAGATATTCAAGCAGTATCTTGTTTTTTGGTCCATGAACATATCTCTCGGGTTATTCTTTTTTTAATGTCGCCTAGCAATGTTTTTGAATTTTTAGAAGTTTCACCCATCTATCTCTAAATCCATTCCATAAAAATTGATTTTTTTAAAGATTTATTTTATTTATTTGAAAATCAGAGTTAGAGAGAGAGGTAGAGAGAGAGAGAGAAAGGTCTTTCATCCACTGGCTCACTCCCCAGATGGCTGCAACAGCTGGAGCTGAGCTGATCCAAAGTCAAGAGCTTCTTCCAGGTCTCCCACGTGGGTGCAGGGGCCCAAGGACTTGGGCCATCTTCTACTGCATCTTCCCAGGCCACAGCAGAGAGCTGGATCAGAAGAGGAGCAGCTGGGACTAGAACCGGTGCCCATGTGGGATGCCAGTGCTTCAGGCCAGGGCTTTAACCTGCTGCGCCACAGTGCTGGGCCTCAAATTGATGACTTTTGATAATGCAATCAACTGTTCTATACTTTCAATTTAATTTCCCAATTTTATACACACACACACACAGAGTTGATTTTTTTCTCTTTTATCTTAATGTTTTCCTATTAACAAGTAATAATTATTTATACTTACAAAACACACTGTGGTGTTTTGATCTATGCTTGCACTGTGGAATGATTAAGACTTGTATCTTAGTTTTCCCCAGTTTTTTATTTGGTTGGTTGGTTTCTGGCTTATTTAAAACTCCTCAGCATTTTCTATGTACATAGTCATATTGTGTGAAAATGGTTTTACTTCTTTCTTTCCCTTTTTTAAGATCTTTCCTTACTTTCCCTTCCTTTATTGCACACTTGCAGGACAGTAAACAGATACGTAGAGAAGAGACACACCTGCCTCACTGCAGACTCAAAGGACAGCTTTCAACGTTCCAGTGTCAAAGACGATGTCAGCGACAACCTTTCTCAAGTCTTTATCAGACTGTGGACGCCCTGTCTATTCCGAGCGTGCGGAGAGATTTCATCATAAATGGATGCTGAATTTTGGCAAATGCATGTTCTGCATTACTGAGGCTCAAAGCTAAAAGCATAAACCTACTTCAGAAAGTGAGCTACAGCAGGACTTTCTGCAGGGATGGAATCCTCTCTGAGCCACCCAGTGGGGCAGCCGCTCACCTGTGGCAACCAGGCAATTGAAATGCAACCAATGCAACTGAAAATGTGATTATCAAATTTGATTTTACCTAAACACCAAATGGAGCTGGTGCCGTTACAATGGACAATGGAGGCAATGTTGTGAAATTTGGTTAGGCAAAGCATTTTAGCTTCAAAATTCGAATGCATAACTATTTTTTAAAAATGATACATTAGGCTTCAACAAAATTAAAAATGTCTGGTTATCAAAAGACACCACTAGGAAAAATTGTAAGCAAAGCACAGTCAGAGGCAAAAAGTTTCAAATTAATGCATTACAAATCAAAAGCATACTCTAAAGATTAATAAAAAGAACAGAAAGTAAAAATATACTGAAGGAAGCATTTCACAAGTGGCAAGTATCAAAATAAGTAGGAACTCAATTTCCTTTGTGATAAGGTAACTAAAAATTAAAATCACAAAGAGAGATCCTTTTACCCTTAATACAGAAGCCCAACAACGCTAAATGTTGAGTAGGATGCAGACCCAGAGGACCAACGATGGTGAAGAAAAGTGGTGCAACGCTTTGGAGAGCTATTTGGCAGTTTCTGATACCATAAATCACACACATGCCCACTGGCCCAGAAATTCTAATTGCTTATCTGAGGGAAAATGAAAATTACGTCCACAAAAGTCTTGGACAAAAATATTCATAGAAGCGTGACTGCCGGGGCCGGCACTGTGGCGCAGCGGGTTAAGGCCCCGACCTGCAATGCCTGCATCCCATATGGGTGCTTGTTCTAGTCCCAGCTACTCCAATTCCGATCCAGCTCTCTGCTGTGGCCTGTAGAAGAAGGCCCAAGTCCCTGGGCCTCTGCACCAACATGGGAGACCCAAGAGACGCTCCTGACTCCTGGCTTCAGATCAGCGCAGCTCCGGCCATCGCAGCCAATTAGGGAGTGAACCAGCAGATGGAAGACCTCTCTCTCTCTCTCTCTCTATTTCTCTCTGCCTCTCCTTCTCTCTCTGTGTAACTCTGACTTTCAAAAATAAATAAATCTTAAAAAAAAAAAAAAAAAAGAAGGGTGGGTGCTGTGGCACAGAGGGTTCAGCCTCCACCTGCAGTGCCATCACCCCTACATGAGCACCAGTTCGAGTCCTGGCTGCTCCACTTCTGATCCAGCTCCCTGCTGATGGCCGTGGAAAGCAGCAGAAGATGGCCAAGTGCCTGGGCCCCTGCACCCACATGGGAGACTCAGAAGAAGCTCCTGAATCCTGGCTTACAAGCACTGACTACTGCAACCACTTGGGAAGTGAACCAGCAGATGGAATGCCTCTCTCTCTCTCTCTCTCTCTCTCTCCCTCCCTCCCTTCCCTGTCTGTATGTCTGTAACTGCCTTCTCAGATAAATAAATCTTAAAAAAATTTCAAAAGAATATTCATAAAGGTGGGCATGGTGACACGGAAGGTTAAGCCATAGCTTGGGACACTGGTATCCTACATGGGAGTGCCAGGTTTGAGTCTTGGCTGCTCCCTGCTTAGTGTCAATGCACCTGGGAGTCAGCAGATGATGACCCAAGTATTTGGGTTCCTGCCACCCACACTGGAGCCTGGAGATGGAGCTCCTGGCTCCTGGCTTTTGCCTGGCCATAAAACACCATTGAAGGCATCTGGAGAATGAACCAAGGGATGGAAAACTGACATATTTGGTATTTACAAAATCAAATAGATTCAAATTACTGAGAAGGTACATGAGGTGGTTAGGTATCAAAGCACAGTATTAGAATACTAATTTTTTAAAACAAAAACCTCTTTTTCATTAGATTTCAGAGCCTAAGTGGAAGATGCTAATTCTTATCTTGGTCCCATCAAAGCTTAAAGATAAAATAGTATTTTTGTTTCTCCTACGGTGTAATTTTAAAAACTCCCCATTGGCCGGCGCTGTGGCACAGTGGGTGAATGCCCAGGCCTGGAGCACCGGCATCCCATATGGGCACCGGTTCGAGACCCAGCTGCTCCTCTTCTGATCCAGCTTTCTGCTGTGGCCAGGGAAAGCAGTGGAGGATGGCCCAAGTCCTTGGGCTCCTGCACCCATGTGGGAGACCTGGGAGAGGCTGCTGGCTCCTGGCTTCAGATTAGCGCAGCACCAGCTGTTGCAGCCAATTGGGGAGTGAACCAGTGGATGGAAGACCTCTCTCTCTCTCTCTCTCTTTCCTCTCCTCTCTCTGTGTAACTCTGACTTTCAAATAAATAAATAAATAAATCTTTAAAAAATAATAAATAAATAAATAGAAATTCCCCATTTTTCTCTCTCCAATCAGGAGAACAAGTGCATTCACCCCTCCCCCGACAGTGTGGCTCAAGCTGATGCCGCTGAAGCCATGGAATGCAGCACGCTAAGCTTAGTCACTGTTATTCTCTAAACTGGAGTGTGAAGACCAATCTGAGAAGTGCTGTTTGGCCACATTTCAATTGAGAAGCAGAATTTTGCAAGTGGATGCATGCAAAGATCCGGGCACATCCGTGCCAGTCGCAGGCCCCTTGCATGTACCTGTGTAGCCAAGTTTTGGTTGCCAGACCGCAGAGCAAGGAGGTACCACCTGATCCGCCTTCCCAGGGCTGGTAAAGAGCTGTACCTCCTGCTAACGAACTGCGCATCGCTCTGGTGAACCACACGTTTTTTTTATTTATTTATTTATTTATTTATTTATTTATTTATTTTGACAGGCAGAGTTAGACAGAGGGAGACAGAGAGAAAGGTCTTCCTTTGCCGTTGGTTCACCCCCAAAATGGCCGCTACAGCCGGCGCACTGTGCCGATCTGAAGCCAGGAGCCAGGTGCTTCCTTCTGGTCTCCCATGCGGGTGCAGGGCCCAAGCACTTGGGCCATCCTCCACTGCACTCCTGGGCCACAGCAGAGAGCTGGCCTAGAAGAGGGGCAACCGGGACAGAATCCGTTGCCCCAACCGGGACTAGAACCCAGGGTACCGGTGCCACAGGAGGAGGATTAGCCTAGTGAGCCGCGGCGCCAGCCCTAACCACACCTTTTAAACCAACATTTATCCCCAAGCAAGCAAGGGGACTCGGCAGACTCTGTACACTGGAGGACACCAGCAATCTCCGCCCAGCCAGGGGCTCCACACCCCCCTCCCCCCGCCGGAACAAACACAAGGCACAGAGAACGCAGGCACAGGACTGGTTACACCAGACGGGGCTCCAGCAGCCAGAATTCCCCGACCTTGACTTCACTGCTGCACACAGGCAGAGAACGCGGGTTTTCCCTGAAGTTCAGGACACAGATGGGACCTCTGACTCCATTTACAGACACTGAATGGAATCGCTGCTAATGATCTAAGTGTGATGTTCTCAGATTATGCGAATCTCTTTCTTTTTTTTTTTATTGCAACTAGTACAATAAGAAGTTTGAGTAAATGCCAATAAATCCTATCAGGAGAGAGCAAGTAACTCATAACAGTACATCTAATAAGAATAAAACCTAACAGTTAGTGCTTCCCAAGTGCCCATAAGGGTTCCCAGCACGCTACCCACAATGCACTTAGCACAGCCCTCGCCCCCACCTGCAACCACAGCTCTCACAGATGGGTGGCAACTCACCCACCTGACAGGGCTTGTGAGGAGCATGGGTACCTGCTCCAGGACCATGCACCTAAACACACGGCAAGCTCCTGTGTGGGCCAGGCAGCCCACAATCCCATCCAAGGTTGCATCAGTTCCATGGGGTAACATAAGGAGAGGGGCTGGCTGCGCAGAGAGACCCCTCGTTGGTCACAGCTCTCTTTAAAGAGCAAGGAGAGACACTGCAAAGCACAAAGCTGGATTCTATTCACGCGACACAAGCAGCATCCTTAGAATGGGAGCACATCCACTCATTCATCCACACGCTTGCGGGGACGCTGTGGCATGCTGGGCACTCACTCCCATACATCGGTTTCATTGAACATAAAGTGAAATTTCCCGAGAACAATGGAAGGTGTGGGGGAGAACAAGAATTTATTCCACAATGTCATGATAATTTATCCCACGTCTCTTCCAACAAGATCTCTAGGTCTGTTAAGAGGGTAACAATGATAAAAATTATCCAAGGAAATTCAGGGTTTTGAAGGGGGAGCAGGACTGGTTTGAAAACAACATAGAACTTACGTGTAGGCTAATGTGGCACTAAAATGCTTCTTGATGTAGGTTTCCAAAACCGGATTAAAATGCTGAAATTTTCTATCAGCAATGAGTCCAATGATGAAGACCTGTCAAAGTAATCAATAACGTTTCCATTAGCAGCACAGAAACCTATGTGCGGACTACAACGAACTGGAATATTTTCAGATGGAGGCTGGCCCCTGGATCTTCTCATCCCAGAATGACATTCGCCTCAGCACAGTGTTACATGGGAAGGCAACTTCTACCTCTCCCACTCAGCTCCGAGGATCCCATTTACGACAGAAAAGCCTTTCAAGGTCACTGTGCTGAATCCCCTCCCAGGCTTCAAAGGCTGCAGCTTGAAAGAGCAGCTCCTATCAGAGCAGATGAAAGGGACAGGGCTCTCACCAGCGCATCAAACACGAGCGTATCAAAAGTCTCGCTCTCCGAGTTCTCCATCATGATGTTGAACAGGGCATCCAGGGTGTCCTGCAGGAACTGAGCACACACAGGTCAGTCAGCAAAGCCCACATGCTGGCCTCCCCCAGATCACAGTAAGGGTCCTCGCTGGCAATACCCCAGGTGCCCACGGCCCCCACGGCTGCCTATAAAGACCTGAAGTTCTGGGGTGCTCTCCCGGCATCAGACACACGACACAAACGCTGGATGACTGCATTCCCAACAAAGAAAGGCCAGCCTGAGTGCAGCACACCCTCTGCCCCAGCAGAGAGATACCCTCCTCTCCCTCCCGGAGATCCTTCCCACCCCACTTGCTGCTCTTCAGAGCATAGGGACAGAGAGCAGAGGGCTCCTGGGGAAGACCAGAGTGGCCTCCTCCTGTTTTCCCCGGGTGCGGGGCTGGAGCCAGTGAGCAGGCAGGAGGCACCCATGGGGAAGCTTCCAGCTGAGTCCAACAAGGGACCTCCTACCGACCACCCAGGGATGGAAGAGGAGTGTAACTCTGAAACGGGGTGCATGGCAGTGTGCCACCAAGAGCTGACTTGACTCTACAGAAACTCACAAACTGCTTGTATCGTCTGCTAGGACTTGTCAAATAGATGCAACCACAAAGACTGACTTAATTAAAAAAGCAGCAGGTGACTTCAGAGTCACGTCACTCCAGACTTCGGCCCCCAGTGCACGGCCTTCCTCTCCTGAAACGAGCCTGAGGGGAACGGAGAAGACTGCATTGGAAGAACTGAGATCGCTGGTAGCTGGAGAGTTCGAGAGCAGGTGCAATGCAGGAAGGGACGTCCGGAGCCGCTGGGACCCAAACGGACCCACAGGGAGTGACACTTCCCACCCACTGCAGTGGCCATGACTGAAAGGACAACAGCAAGTGCAGGCGAGGGCGGGCAGCAGCGGCAGCCTGGTGAACTCGCTGCTGGGAGAAGCAGGCACGGCTCAACGGCCCTGGAAAACAGGCGGGGGCTCCTCCGAAAGGCAGAGACTCACTTTGTGACTCAACACATTCACTCAAGAGAAGGAATAACCATGTCCACACAGCAACATGGACGCAAACGTGAACGGCAGCCATCATGCCTACTTATTACCAAAACACGGCACAAAAACCACGAATATTCATCCATTGAGGGATAAAAACACTGTGGTCTATGAAGATATTTCTAAAAGTCCACTGGGGCAAAAAAACTGAAATCCACGCACATAAAGCATCATCAAAAGACGTATTAAAAGTGCTTCGCGGGCCGGTGTTGGGGGACAGCAGGTTAAGTCACTGCCTGTGACGCCAGCATCCTACACAGGCACTGGATCAAGTCCCAGCTGCTCCAGTTCTGACCCAGCTCCCTGCTAATGCACCTAAAGCAGTGGAGGGCGACCCAAGTGCTTGGGCCCCTGCACCCGCATGGGAGACCCGGATGAAGCTCCTGGCTCCTGGCTTCAGCCTGGCCCAGCCCTGGCCACTGCAGCCATTTGAGGAGTGAGCCAATAGAAAGAAGATATCTCTCTTGCTCTCTCTCTCTCTCTTTCTCTCTCTTCCCTTGCTCTCTTTCTCTGTAACTCTGCCTTTCAAATCAACAAAATAAATCTTTAAAAAGAAGTGTTTTATGACAAAACCACTCACAGATTTCAAAACTTTTGGCACCAAAATAAACTTATCATTTCATTTCATGAACTTCCTACAGGCCCTGCATCTACAGCCTGGAGTATGATCCAGGCGCACAAAGCAGTGAAGAGCTGAATCAAGCCGCAGCACGGATGCCAACAGCAGGCTAAGTGACGGGAGGCAGACAGCAAAGACCACGCACGGACGACCGCCCTGCATCCAATATCCTCAGCAGGTAAACTGCAGAGACAGGACGCAGACGAGAGGCTGCAGAACAGTGCAACTGACCACTGCTCGGCCTGGGCTTTCTTTGGGGATGACGAGAAGTCTGACATCACAGCTGGTGGCTGAGCCACCTGTGAGTGTGGTAAAATCTCCCGACCTGCACCGAGTAAAGGGTACACTATACGGTGCCCGTCCAGGCCCCTCAAGCGAAACACGTGGGACCAGCGTGATTTTCACTTTCACTGGTCTCTGATCCTGCAGTGTGCGTGTGCATCGTGAGACACCTCGGGGAGGGGACCCAGGTCCCCACGTGAAATCCTTTACATCTCAGGGACACCTTGCACACTCAGCCTGGACATGACGTCACACGACACTCTCAGTTCCACCGTACCCATCTCGTGGGCACTCGGGAGGTCTCCCGTTTGGTGGCATTTTCTATTTTTGCATGAGGGATGCTCAATCTATATGTGAATTGCAATCCAGCGAGGAGTGGGTGACGCGGCCACACAGCAAAGATGTCAGAGGCCTGGCTGAAGCTGCCAGCGGTGCCCCTGTCCCCACATGGACCTCATACCACCAACACAGCCCTGCGGCTGGGAACCTGCTCACAAAGCCCTGTGGCTCCCTCCGCTCCGGCTTTGCCATGGAACCGGCACCAGCCACGAACGCCTTTCAGATCTCCCATGTGTCAAAACCCTCCCTGCGTTCCAGCATGCTACAGCCAAAAATGTCACATACAGAGCGTCAGGTGACGTGACCGAGGGCTTCATCCACTCCATCTCATCTAGATCTGCACCACCTCCTGGATTTGGCCCCACTTCCACCATTTCCAGGTTGGAAAATATTTGCAAAGATCGAAACCTGATGCCATCTGCTAACAGCCGGATGTTCCTGCCAACTGGCTCTGTGGAGCCAAGCCCTGGACTGTCGTGGGCATGGCTCACACAGAGGCCCTGGGGTAGGCCCAACGGCCCCACCCAGAGGGAGCTGCGGATAGCCAGAGCCTCCTCCACAGGGCTGTAGAACGGCAGGTGCAGGGCTGAGCACCTGGACAGAGACCCCTCCCACAAAGCCAGGAGGGGGCTCCTTCCATACTCCACGCTCTCATCCAGTAGAGGAGGGAACCACTTCACTTCGCATCTCCATTGCAAGCCCCACCTTGGACTAATTATGCAAATACTTTTCCCAGTTTATCAAGCAATGCCTTCAGTCATTACCAGTTAGAACTGTGCAGAAAGAAGGTTCTGGAAAAATGTCCTTAAATACTGTCCTTAAATACTCGGAGAGAAAAGGGGCTCCGTACAGGCTAGGGATCGCCCAAGTCCTGGCTCACCAGGACCAGCTGAGCAGCCTTAGCCACATCAGTGCACTCCCTAGGCACACAGAGCAGGCAGGAGGTACTGACAAAGGTAAGAAGACAGGGAGGCACCCTAGGAACAGGGCACCCAGGTCACCCAGGCCCCAGGCGGCGGCAGTGGACACAGAAAGGAGGGACAGATGTGAGAATCATTTCCAGGGATGAAAAAGAGGATGTGGTAAGATGCCAGGTTCGAGGAGTAGGGGACACGGTGATTCCAGAGTTCTCTGGGTAAGTGTGACAGCGGGTCAACAGGAACGCACGCCTTCCCAAAGTGATCCAGCGACTTCGGAATGAGAGAGGACAAGACTCGTCACTGGTGTCTTCCAAAGTGCGTTCACCTGTTCATTCAGTTGCCAACTGAATTGGGGAATTTACAGAAGTTTAAAAGGCAATTAACATTGTCCGAGCCACCAGGAGAAGAGCAGCACAGAAAAGATGATTACAGTCTTGAGACTGGTCTCAATGACGAGGCCAGCCTTCTAGGAAGGCCCACAAGCAAATTAATTTACACTGAAGTCAAGCACACGTCTGGGTAACGAAGCCATTTTGAGTAATTAATTTTGCAGAGATGAGGGAGCCCCTTTCTGCGGCAGCTCTCAGAGGGTGAGGAACAGAAGCAGAGACACACGCACACCTGGCTGGCCCAGCGGGAACACACCAACACACCAGGCAGGCTGCACGGGGCCCACGGGAGGGCAGAAGGTTCAAGCCCAAGGGAGAAACTCAAGGGACAGCTGACTACAGAAGAAGGAAGTGCACACTCTGACGGCTCGAAGCTGTCTCAGCTGACCCTGTCCACTGCCCTGGCCCACAGATGAAGACATGGAGGTCGAGAGACCTTGAATGAATGATACAACAGACATTTCTTCAGAGCCAGCCATGGGCAAGACCAAGAGTGAGTCATGCAGAGAGAATGGCCAAGCCAAGACTCCCTGTGCTGTGACCTAGCACAGCCCAGATTTGTAGAGGCTTTGGGTAGAGCTAGAGTTACGGACAATGACAGCCAGATGGTCATGTCAAAGCCACGGAACTCACTGGATACTTCCCATGTATCCCACACCCCTTCCAGGCACTGCTGTCTTCTACCTACGGCACAGGTTTAAAGATGTTGCTTAACCAGAGTCACCTGCAGCCAGGAACCATCTGAAGAGGAGCTGGGGGCTGGTAGTGTGGCACAGAGGCTAAGTCACAACCTGCGATGCCAGGAGAGCCAGTCCTGTGCCTAGGGAGGCAGTGCCTGGGCCCCTGCCATCCATGTGGAAGACCCAGATAGAGTTCTAGGACCTTGGATTCAGCCTGGCCCAGCCCCAGCCCCAGCAGTAGCCATTGTGGCCATTTGGGGAATGAAACAGTAGATGAAGACCTCTCTCTGTGTGTCATGCTGCCTTCCAAATAAATTCATTATTTAAAAAAAAAAAAGAGAGAGAGAGAGAGACCAGAACCCAAAGTCATCCCCACAGCCAGAACCCAAGGAATGCCCTGTCCATGCAGAGGGGTGGGTGACTATTTGTTTAAGGATAATAGCCAGGGTCCTACGGACCTCTGAGTTTTGGAGCCTGCACCTGTTAATACATGCAAAGAAAATAAAGTTCAAGGCACGACGTCCCTCTGGGCCCCGGGCTACCTTGACCACTTCACCACCGTCGACTTTCATCAGCTGCCTCAGGTTCTGCTGCAGCAGGCTGGTGTTCGAACGCCACTTCAGAAGCCCCAGGAGGTCCACTGGAAGCAGAGAAGAGAAGTCAGCGCCGGCTGCCAGCTCCCGGGCTCCTCTGCTCCGGCATCGGCATCGGCATCGGCATCGCGTGAGGTTCTCGCTAAAAGCCCTTGACCACAAAAATCAACCTTATCTTGAAAGCTTCACCTGCGAAACATGTCATTACTTTGTAGCAACAGAATTAACACCTGGTGCAGCTGAATTCATCCATTTCAACGGCTTTCCCATGAAACAATTGCCAGGGAGAGGCTTCAAGAAGGCATTCGGGAACCGCTAAGAAAGGACGAGTTCACCTTCATGCAGGCAGGTGCAGAGCACGGCCGGGCCCGGAGCCGAGCTCACCCTCACAGGCATGCCCGCCCCCTTTCTACCCCGGGGGCTCTGCCAGCTCAGGAGCAACACTTCATTATGTTTTACGTAAAATATTACAAACTAACTAACATAAACTGACCCCTCAGGAAGTCAGTCCTGCAGGGAACACTCCTCCCAGGGGACACTTCTGCAGCCACAGGACGCCTGGACAGCTGAGCCCACCCCTGCCCGGGCTTCCTCCTGCCCAGGTCTGGGCTTCCGTGGCTCACTGCTGTTCTTCCGTACCTTCGTCTGCTGCTTTTTCCAACAGGAAAATTAAGGACCAAACACAATCAGTTTAAAGGCTGTTTGCGGAAGGCAGTGTCCAGAAATCACTTGGTTTAGGGCACTGGGATGTTCTTTAGGGCAGCAGACAAAGCCAAGACCTCTCCAGGAAAGGACAAGCAGCTGCACGTTGTCCCATGAAGTTACACGAATATCCCAGTCCTCGAAAAACATGGAAGTGGCAGTAAGCATCTGGAGCAGCTGTGGAAACTGCAACCCCAGAAATGGGAGGGGAGTGCAGACTGGCCTGGTGGTTAGGATGCTCACATCCCATATCGGAGTGCCTGGCTTCGACTCTGGCTCTGCTCCCGATTTCCCCTTCCTGCTAATGCAGATCCTGGGAGGTAAGAGATGATGGCTTGGGGCCGGTGCTGTGGCGTAGCAGGTAAAGCCTCAGCCTGCGGTGCCGGCGTCCCCTATGGGCACCTGTTCAAGTCCCGGCTACTTCACTTTCCATCCAGCTCTCTGCTGTGGCCTGGGAAATCAGTAGAAGATGCCCAAGTCCTTGGGCCCCTGCACCCACGTGGGAGACCTGGAAGAAGCTCCAGCCATCGCAGCCTATTGGGGAGTGAACCAGCGGATGGAAGACTTCTCTCTCTACCACTCCTTTTCTCTGTGTGTAACTCTGACTTTCAAATAAATAAATAAATCTTGGAGGAAAAAAAAAAAAAAAAAAAACCAGAGAGAGATGATGACTCACGGAATTGGGTCCCTGCCACCCACGTGAAAACCCTGGCCCAAGTCCCAGCTCTCAGGTTCGTCCTGGCCCAGGCCCCGCCTCTGCTGGCCCGCGCGCCTCAGTCCTGGAGCTGCATTAATAACCGATGCCACCAGGTCCAAACTGGCAGCCCCTGGATGTGACGCAGGGCAAAGGGCAGCATTCATGTCCTCTCTCTCTCTCTTCACATATGTGGAGAGATAAAACCCTCGCTAATACTGAAAATATGACTTTGCAGCCGGCGCCGTGGCTCACTAGGCTAATCCTCCACCTAGCGGTGCCGGCACACCGGGTTCTAGTCCCGGTCGGGGCGCCGGATTCTGTCCCGGTTGCCCCTCTTCCAGGCCAGCCCTCTGCTGTGGCCAGGGAGTGCAGTGGAGGATGGCCCAAGTGCTTGGGCCCTGCACCCCATGGGAGACCAGGAAAAGCACCTGGCTCCTGGCTCCTGCCATCGGATCAGCGCGGTGCACCGGCCGCAGCGCGCCGGCCGCGGCGGCCATTGGAGGGTGAACCAACGGCAAAGGAAGACCTTTCTCTCTGTCTCTCTCTCTCACTGTCCACTCTGCCTGTCAAAAAAAAAAAAAAAGTAAAAAAAAAAAAATATGACTTTGCTATGGGGAGAAGTTTGGTGCACACCTATTACAAGATCAAACACACGAGGACACAAAGCATACATGTAATGAACAACAAAGCATGCGTTTCCATTTATCTGACCTCACCCCCAAGTATCGCTAGCAAGAGGAGTTTTAACAAAAGGGAACAGCGCACAGAAGTGTGGGATGTTAAGAGTGAGTAAAGCTTCCAAGCCAGCCGGCTCACTCCAGACTTCGGACGAGTGGCTTCACTCAGTATTCTTCTCTGCACAATGGGTACAGTGCTGCCCACAGCACAGGGTTGCGACAAGGACTAAACGCTGTGACAGACAGGAGTGCGCAGCACGAAGCACTAAGAGCAGCAGACACTGCAAGGACGACCTGGGAATGGGGGCTCTCCCCAGTCCCCGTGGAGGCCAGAGGTCTTCACTCTAACTGGAAGCAAAGAGATGGCGAAGGCTCCGCTCCTGGTCCCAGGGCTGGGGAGACACCCATCTCAGAAGAACCGGTGCCTCATTAATAATCGATGCCACCAGGTCCAAACTGGCAGCCCCTGGATGTGACCTCTGTAACTGTCACCCTGAGAGAGGTATGTCTGGGCACATCAGGATAGGGCCACCCAGGAGGAGGGGCAGCACACAGCCGGCCCAGTCTCGAGGCTCCCCAGACAGAAGCTGTCCTCCCTCCCCTGCCCTCACCCCCAGGGAAGCACCGCCACTGGCCCATGGCTTAACCATCTTTCGCTTGGTGCCTCCTTTCCCTCTGATCGCACGTCAAGTCCCCTGGGAAGAGGACGCTGGCTTGGACCTCTCTCCGTAGCCCCCATAGCATCCAGCAGAATGCTGACGACACAGAAGTGTAATGCAAACCTCGATGAATAATTCAGCCGCTGCTTTTGCCTAAGTAAGGGGACCTCATGGCAACAAATGATGGCGTCCCTCTGATGAGAGTCTGAGACGCAACATTCAGGGGGCAGCTGGGGCGTCTCCATCGGTAGCCACCTGACAGGCCGCCAGCCCGCAGAGAGGCCTCACGGCTGCTGAGAAAGCCAAAGCCCCACCCCCTCCTCGCTGGCAGCATCACAGCGGCTGTGCCCGTTGCCCAGCAACAGCGAGGCTCAGTCCCAGGGAGGGGATTACCCGGCTGCCCGTGAGACTCCAAGCACTGCAAGGTGAAGAGAGGGTTTGACTTCAACCCCCGAGTCCTCTTCTCCAGGGATAGGTGGGTTAAGTAGGATTCTGTGCTACTCCAAACACTGGAGGGGAAAATCTGTCCAAGTTCCAGAGAACAGTTCCCAGACATGCTTTCAGAACACACCCCGTGCACCAGACGGTGGGCTTCCTACAGAGTGAAACACAGCAGGCAGCAGCTCCTGTACACCCAGCACCCAGTGCCCAGAGCCGGGGAGGTGACCACTGAACAGGTTACCTCGCCCTGGGTTAACAAGGCCCCAGTGCTGAGCACTGCCAGGTGGCTGGAACTCCTGGGCCACATGCAGAGGGTGACCTCTGCCATGCTGGGCGTCCTTTCCAGAAACCGGTCCCAAACCAGAGCCCACCTGCTGGCCCTACGTTCCCTGAGCACTAAACTCGCAAACTCCCCAAGCACCCGCTACTCTCCGTCCCCATACAGCCACAGACGCAATCCCCTGGTAAGGCTTTGCTTTTGCTCATGGAGACAGAGACACACCCACCAGCCAGCACCCGTCATGCATGCCCCAGGCAACACAGAATCATCAGGCAACAGCAGGGAAAGTGTCTGAGTGGCCTTTAGCATCTGGACCCAGGTGGCCTTAAGGCTGTTGTAACCATGTGTGGCCAGGCGGCCTTAGAGCGTCTGTATCCAGATGGATGTGACAGCAGTAAAGGTCTGCGTGATTGACAACCGCCCAGCAAGCAGCGTCTCACTCTCGCAGGAAAGCCTGCCTCGTCCGATGTGGAACAGAGGGAAACGCTTCAGGACCGCCCAGCCCAGGGCACCTACACACCCACCACGAATGATGAATTTCCTCCTGCCCTGTATTCAACCTGTTAAAGCCGAACCAATGATTGTCCCTCGGGCAAACCCAAAACTGCTGCCATGGTTTCTGGACAATCTCCAGACACATAACTCTTGATGGCAACACGCACTGATAATCAAAATTCATATCGGGCAGTGAGGAAGACAAAAGCTGGGTGTTGAAGCTCAATTTAAAAACAGCGCAACGGCGCTCTGCACAGCTGTGATCCAGTGGGGTTTGGGAGATGCAAGTGTTAAATGCAGGACTGTGTACAGGCGCCCCCACCACCTCCAGACACAGCTGGGGAAGAAAGTCTCCTGGCCGGACAGCGCCGTCGCCGGGAGGCAGCAGGTGGGGGTGGAGGGCAGGCGGGCCAGCGGCAGCCTGGGGCGCTAGGCGGCTGCTGGAGCCGGCTCTGCTGTGTTAAGTCCCGGCCATGATGTGAAGAAATCTGCAAGGGGTGCTTATCTCACACCACGAGGGAGGCTAGAAAAATATTATTCAACCAACTTTCCAAAGGGGAGATAACTGGGAATTATCTCAACAGCAGCTGAGAGAGGGAGGACATGGAGAGGCGGGCCCCTGGCACCCTGCCCTCCCTGAAGCCCTCACAAAGCCCAGGGAGGCGGACGCTGGGCCCCTGTCTGCAGTCAAGGAAAACAGGGTTCAGAAATGAAGGCGGTCAAGGTCACTCCCAGGGTTATCACAGGGCTAGGGTTCAAGCCCAGGTCTCAGATCCGACTCCAAAACTCATGTGCTGTAGCACAGCGGGTAAAGCTGCTAGCTGCAGCGCCGGCATCCCACATGGGTGCCGGTTCAGGTCCCGTCTGCTCCACTTCCCATCCAGCTCTCTGCTATGGCCTGGAAAAGCAGTAGAAGATGGCCAAGTCCTTGGGCCCCTGCAGCCACATGGGAGATCTGCAGGAAGCTCCTGGCTCCTGACTGCGGATCAGTGGAGCTCAGGCCTTGCGGCCAATTCGGGGGTGAACCAGCAGACAGAAGACTCTCTCTCTCTCTCTCTCTCTACTTCTCTTCTCTCTGTGTAACTCTTTCAAGTAAAAAAAGAAATCTTAAAAAAAAAAAAAAATCTCCTGCATTTTCCCTTCAGCCACACTACCCTCCTTTGGCCAAAAAGTATTTTAAGGAGTATAACCCCATGGCCTTATTCTCCTGTAAGGTTAGACCTTAGGCCAAACCACAGGTGGGAAGCTCAGTTTATGATGGGAGCCACCCCTCTCACTAGTCCACCGATGGACACCCCCACAGGTCACTCCAGAGAGACGCCACAAATGAGGAACGGGTGTCCTTCAGGCACCTGCACAGGTGCCTCAACCTGCCCAGAGCACAGACAGGACAAGGCTGACGGACAGGAACGCTGGGGTGAGTGTGCTCTGACTCCCAAACTCACCGTTCTGCGTCAGCTTGGTTGAGCACACCAGGGTGGAGATCTGGAAGGAGTCCTTGCTGATGGTGCAGCTGCCGAGGCTCTGCAGGCTCTTGCCCGTGACCGCGTGGCCCTTCTCTTCCAACTCTGCTTTCGTGGAGGGCAGACTCAAGTAGGTTGCAGCATCTTCCAGTTTCTTGGCCTCGGCCTGTGGGTTTAGACCGGTGATGTGTCAGACCCAGTCGCAAAGATACGATTCCACACGCTGCATCATTTTAACCACCGTTTTACTGATTGATTGATTGATTGACTGATTTAAAAAGCAGAGGAACAGAGACACATGGAGAGACAGAGAGAGAGAAGGATCTTCCATTCACTGGTTGACTCCTCAAATGGCTGCAACAGCCAGGGTTGGGTCAGGTCAAAGTCAGGAACCTGCACTCCACCTGGGTGTCCTACTTAAACGGCAGGGGCCCAAGTACTTGGGCCATCATCTGCTGCCCTCCCGGATGCATTAGCAGGGAGCTGGGTAGGCAGAAGAGCAGCCAAGACACAAACCAGAACTCTATTATGGGATGCCGACGCTGCAAACAGCAGCTTAAGCCACGGAGTCACAGTGCCAGACCCTATAGCCACTTCTTATATTGTGCTCCATTAAGTGTTTCAATAATTCCCCTTATTTCTGTAGGTAATTCATGTCTACGACATTTTCACAGGCTATCTAATGCGTGGATGGATATCCTCTTTTCTCATTAGGAACAGCCAAAGGGCTGGTCACCAGCAATGTGTATTCACACTGTAGCCAGCTGCACCTCACAGTGACAGGACAGCAGAGCTCAGGGAAGGCCCAGGAGGGTGGCGACACTGAGAGGTGGCGATGGCCCTGCAGCGGAGCCGCGCACCTTGTAGACGATGAGGTCGTGCTCCCCGTCTCTCAGCGTGGTTCCGTCATACCGCATGAGTTTCACAAACGCCAGGGCGAAGATCTTCTCGGATTTATCCTTGGCTGCAACAAAAACCAGTGATCACCTTCAACGACGATCGCGACCAAACGGCACGCGACACGCTCCAAAGTCCACCTCGACAAAAACAACGACAAAACGGCATCGACAGATGTTGAAACCATGGAAACCCATGGGCAATGCTCATCAGCACGCAGACCCCTCCCACAAAGGGACCGGGTGCCCCCAATAAACCCGTGGACTCAGAGCAATCCCAACAGGAATTCCATGGAAACGTATTTTCACGGAATTTGAAAACTGACTTCAGGAAGAAACACGAAAGTCGAGAAGAGCAGGACGGCGTGGCAGAGGAACGGGCAGCAGACGGCCGTAACGGACACGAGAGCAACGGAGAGGACGGCGGCAGCAGTGCCTTTTCTTCTTTTTTGTAAGATTTTATTTATATATTTGAGAGGCAGAGTTAGAGAGAGAGGGAGAGACGGAGAAAAAGATCTGCCATCCACTTGTTCACTCCCCAAATGGCTGCAATGGCCGGGGCTGGGCTGATCTGAAGCCAGGAGCCAGGAGCTTCCTCTGGGTCTCCCACGTGGGTGCAGGGGCTCAAGCACTCGGGCCATCTGCTACTGCTTTCCCAGGCCATTAGCCGGGAGCTGGATTGGAAGTGGAGCAGGTGGGACTCAAACCAGCGTCCAAATGGCATGCCAGTGACGCAGGTGGAGGCTTAGCCTAATTCCCCACAGCACCTGTCCCGACAGCAGTTTCTTTCTTTTTTTCCTTTTCTTTCTTTTTTTTTTTTTTTGACAGGCAGAAGTGGACAGTGAGAGAGAGAGAGAGACAGAGAGAAAGGTCTTCCTTTGCCGTTGGTTCACCCTCCAATGGCCACCGCGGCCAGCGCGCTGCGGCCGGCGCACCACGCTGATCCGATGGCAGGAGCCAGGTACTTATCCTGGTCTCCCATGGGGTGCAGGGCCCAAGCACTTGGGCCATCCTCCACTGCCCTCCTGGGCCACAGCAGAGAGCTGGCCTGGAAGAGGGCTAACCGGGACAGAATCCGGTGCCCCAACCGGGACTAGAACCCGGTATGCCGGCGCCGCAAGGTGGAGGATTAGCCTAGTGAGTCGCAGCACCAGCCCCAACAGCAGTTTCAACACAGGCACCCACGGGCCACAGAAATGAGCAGGGTCTGGTACACGAGGTCCTGGCTAATACCAGGGGCAGGGAGGGGCACATCACACCAAGAGGGATCCCTGCTTATCGACACAGAAGAATCAAGTAGCTCCCTATCGCCAACATCTACTCAGAAACACTACAGGACTGAAGGGCGGAGTGTGAAACTGTTCCCTGGAGCAAGGAAGAGCAGACAGCTGCACACAGGGCTCGTGCCTCCCTCCGCCCCAGGTCTGCTGAAATGTCGCCCCCTCCACAGAGTGACCGCACGCTGTCTGACACACGATGTCCCTTCACTCAGCACCCTGGTGATGGCCAGACAATGCTTGTGAGAGGCACACACACATACACACAGGTGACGGCCAGACTGTGTGTGTGAGACAGACAGACACATACACGCACACACACTGGTGATTGTCAGATTGTGTGTATGACAGGCACACACACACACACACAGTTGATTGCCAGATTGCGTGTGTGAGACAGACACACACATACACACACGCACACACACAGTTGATTGCCAGATTGTGTGTATGAGATGCACACACACACACACACCAGTGATTGCCAGATTGTGTAAGACAGACACACACACACAGTTGATTGCCAGATTGCGTGTGTGAGACAGACACACCAGTGATTGCCAGATTGTGTGACACACACACACACACACACACACACACACACTTGTTGGTATTTATTGACCCTGGGATGTAAAGGCGCTTGGCTGTTGTTTGGCTGCCATCTCCCAGTGCATGAAAGAGTGCCTGGCATACAACAGGCTCAGTAAGTATCTGTGCTAGTTGGGGAGGCGGGGGGGATGGCCAAACAAATCCTAACAGGCAATAAAGAAGCAAAACTGGGTGGTTCGCAAGGGGCGATGGAGGGAACGCGGGCCATGCACCCAGATGGGCAGGAAAGAGTTCTCAGAAGAGAGCTGGCCAAACGCAGAGCCCTGCCCCAAAGGGCCTGGCTCCCATGGGGACACGCGAGGGGGACAGGTGAGGGTCCCAGGCAGGCAGCGGAGCCGGGTGGGCTGAGGACCCAGATGCACCATGAGCTCCTCAGGGGGCAACCTGCTCCAGCGCCAGAAAACAGCTCTGGAACTCCAGACTGAAAATCCTCCTTTTAGAGATGAAGGACGCACGTCAGGGAGAGAAGCACCACACAGCATCCTCCGTGAGTCAGGGCACAAAATGCACACCCGACCGCTCCCCCAGCCCCACCAGCCTGAAACCACAGCCCGGTCGGTCAATGCCGCCACTGCTCACGGCCAGCAGTACCTCGCCCACGGCAGGAGCTCGACAATGCGGTCAATCAGGGTGAATGAATGAGCAACCAAGGACAAATAAAGGCAGGAATGCAAGTGAGGTATCTGTGTCCTAGAAATCTAAAACACCTCGGTACAAAGCTATCAGAGCACGGGAAACAGCAAGGAACAGTCCCTCCACAGTTTGCATTGACACCAGATAAAGACACGATGCCACGAGAAGGACAGGCGGCCACGACTGTCCACAGACGGCGCCCTACGTCAAGTGCCATGAAAGCAGCACACCCGCTGGTGATAACCGGCATCCTCACGTCCAAGCCCGAGACTGCGCTTTGCCACAGACTCACTAGCAGGCATTACAAGGTGGACAGGTTTTCTCTGACAACCGACTTCCAGAAGCTTAGAAACCAGAGGAGGTGGCCACACGTTCCTGAGAGTGGACAGAGCCTCACCCAGCCGAGCCTACACATTCCAGGCTGGACCTGGAAACCCTACATCTGCCTGAACTCACGGAAAACATTATCCCGTAAGTGTGGACTTGCCACCAGGTTGCCAGAGAGGTGTCCCCTTGTCACGTCACCCCAGAAGCAGTCGCTGTGCACGTGCCCCTTAGCCCGTGGCAGACACAGCTTGTTTGTGTCCGCTAGCAGGGGTGCGAGGTGGCCTCAGCCCTCTCTCCCTGTCTGTGACGCCCGGGCTCTGCACCCAGGACCGGCTGAGAGGCCCCAGCGCCGTCACTGCCAGCAGCAGGCAGCTGGGATTCCGTCAGCACTGCACTTGCGATGCTCAACATGTTTCCAAAACCCACAAGCTGTGGCCGTGGAGACTTCATTAATTATGCAAATGTGTCTTGGTGTGCGGAGTGATAGCATCTTGTCTGTAATGAGTACTTGAAACTGACAAGAAAAACAAGGATTGTGAACATTCAAATGCTGAGAAGATACCCCTCTTGCCCTAGTGTAATTTATTAATTAGGGGAATGAGGCTGTACACGGGGAGTGTGATGCTGAGATGCGCCCGCTGTGGACGCCGGCAGCCTCTCCTCGCCTGCTTCCTCCCGGGCCCTGGGAGACCCGCCCTCCTGTGTCCTCGTGGGCAGCAGGCCCAGCCCATCCTCTGGCTCAGCCTCCCGCTCCTCAGAGGACCCTGCAGCCACTTGGGCCGCGCGTGTGCTGGCTGATGCCCGGCCCCTGCTATTGCCCTTGCGCAGGTGCCAAACCCAGCAGCCGTCCTGAGAACACACCTGTGCCCAGAGCCCCTGGCTCTCTGCTTACACCACAGCTCCGCCCGGCACGCGACCCACGCCAACAGCCATTCCAGAAGTGGGTCTTGTATCATGACTTCTGACCTCATACCCCTGCTCGACAGGAGACCCTCCAGCCACTGTGTATGCAGCAGGTGCTACACATAGCCCAGGTGATAGGAGTGGCCCGGCCACCCCCCCCACGGCCCTGGAGTCCACGAGAAGGCCACCGGCCTGGGTACCAACCAAAGCTCTTCTGCTGACTGCACGACTGGGAAGAAGGGGAGTGATGTCCACAATGTTGCAAGCTAGGGAGTTCCTGGGAGGACAGATGCTACCCCTGGGTAGCAGGCACAAAGTAGGAACCACGAACATGGGCCAGCACTGACGATGAGTTATCTTACCCTGCAGCTCCAGCCATCAGGAGCACCCCCCGCCCCCAGTCAGAGACCCAGACCTGCATTTGGCTCTAAGACAAGCATTCGATGTTGGAGCACTGCCTTCCGAGCTGGCCAGCCTTGGCGTCCACACCTCTCCTACCCCGTGTGACCCTGGGGCCCCGACCTGCCTGGACTGTGAGGACTCCCGGGGCCTATGATGACACTCCAGAGGCTCCCAACCCTGCCCCTGGCCCCACACTGCACCCCAACCCCACACTGCTTCAGAGCCAGTGCCTCCACCACCTGCCAGGCTGACGTCCACAGTCTTGGCACACCAGCCCGGCAGGCCTCGTGCACCGCGCCTCCCTGGCTCTCCCCTAAGTGATGGCAGGGCCCGGCCTCTCGGGGGTCCTGCACAGCAGGCTCCACACTCCTGCACCAGCCTTGGTCCCTGTGTTCAGTCCCCCCTCTACGCCACACACCACGTGGAAACCACTTGGAGGGCCCGGGCAGGCCATACCATAATATAGCAAGGCATACAGAAGTGCTGGCACAGCAACAGGGGCGTCTGCAGAGCCCTGACACCAGGCCCTGCAGGTGCAGGTGGCTCGCGGTCCCCACGCCCCTGACCTCATCCTGAGGTCAAGATGTGGGAAGAGGGTCAGGTGTTGGGCATGTGCAGGAGCAGATGGAGCCAGGGACCGTGGCCCCCACTGTGTGGCCCCACAGGGTCCTCAGTGACAGGCCACCCACTTCCACTGGCACCTGCAGCGCCCACGACCACAGCCAGCCTTTGCTGCCGAGTGGAACTGACCACGAAGGGCAGGGGCCGGGTCTTCCTCCCGGGACGACGTCCAGCACAGGGCTGCCTCTCAGCAGGCAATCAGTTCCGCAAACAGGACGAGACAGACGCAGCCATCAACAGTGACTTGTTTTTAAAACTGAGCGATTCAAATACGAGATTTCCTCCTGAATGCTGGCATCATAGCCAACACTGCACCAACATCGATGAGGAAAGCCTCGCCAGTCCCAGACACCAGGAGCCACCAAGACAGAAACACCTCGAGGCTCTCAGTTCAAGACAAAGAACGTAAGAATCGGCTTTCGTACTCTGCCGGGGCTCAGTGATTTTCTAGGATGACGATGATGGTGATGATGACGATGATGGTAACTGAATGGCAGAGAGAGACAGCTGGAAAGACAAAGAGCTCACAGCCACTCTTCTGGGCTGGAGGCAGAAGCCAGGAACTGGGAGCTTAACCCACGTCTCCCAGGTCGGGGGCAGGGACCCCAGTACTTGAGCCACCACTGCTATCTCCCAGAGCGCACATTATCAGGAAGCTGGAGTCGGGCGTGGACTCGGGAATCGAACACAGGCCCTCAGCTGTGGGGTGAGGCAGCGTCACCACTAGGCCAAATGCTCACGTGTCAGGACCGACCAGTGTCACAGACGGAAGCGAGGAAGTGAGAGCACAGAACCGACCAGTGTCACAGACGGGAGCGAGGAAGTCAGAGCACAGGACCGACCAGTGTCACAGACGGAAGCGAGGAAGTCAGAGCATGGAGTGGTAGGTAAGACTAAGACTTCCGAGACCTGCTGAAAGCAGGAGAGGAGAGAACACCCGGGAACAGGTGGAGGCAGAAACCCTGCCCGCATCGAGCCCTGGCTGTGCCACAGGAACTAAGTGCTGGAACAGCCCAGAAGCAGGGCAGCCATGAGCCTCCCCCGGTCTCCCCCTGCAAACACCCGAGCAGCGAGCACGCCGTGACTCACAGTCCTGCGAAGACCTGTGGCGGAAGGTGAAGCGGAGGTGGCTGCGGTTCACGTCCTCGATGGGGATGGCCACCTGCGGACACCAACAAGGGGAGGTCAGCGCTGGCCTGAGCAGCTGTGTGCAACGGGGCCACGGGGCCACCACAGGACCTCCATCCCCTACGTGTTCTTCAGAAGGAAGGCAAAATGCCTTTTTTTTTTTTTTTTTGACAGGCAGAGTGGACAGTGAGAGAGAGAGACAGAGAGAAAGGTCTTCCTTTGCCGTTGGTTCACCCTCCAATGGCCGCCACGGCTGGCGCACCTCGCTGATCCGCTGGCAGGAGCCAGGTACTTCTCCTGGTCTCCCATGGGGTGCAGGGCCCAAGCACTTGGGCCATCCTCCACTGCACTCCCTGGCCACAGCAGAGAGCTGGCCTGGAAGAGGGGCAACCGGGACAGAATCCGGCGCCCCAACCGGGACTAGAACCCGGGGTGCCGGCACCGTAGGCGGAGGATTAGCCTATTGAGCCGCGGCGCTGGCACAAAATGCCTCTTGAAAACCCAAACAAGGTAAGAATGCCAAGCCCACTCTGTGAGGCGGCTGGATCTTCCTCCTTCACTGTCCTAATCCTCGCAGCTGAGATTCTGCTCTTAGAAGTCGCTCTTTTTGTTTGCAGCCCCAACACGGAGGTGTCTACCCTCCCTCGGCGGCTGCCGTGAGACCTGCCCACAGCTGCAGCAAGAAGAGTGATCTCGTCTTCACATTAGAGCGGCAGAAAGAACACTGCCCGTGGGCAAGGATTCTCCCTAATCCCCACATCCAACTTCCAGATCCCAGGGCCACCCCCAACCTGCTTCCCGCAGGTTCCTGTCTTAAGAGTGGCAGGTGCACTGCGTTATGAAAACCCATGGCATCAAGGCCGCTGGACAGAACCCATCTGCTCAGCGGTAACCTCCATGCACTGACCTCTCCATTCTTCTCTATTTGGCGTATAACAGACCCAGGACGAGCGCGGGAAGCGCTGCCTATAAAACACTGTCATTTGTCTCCATGAACAGCCTATTTTTACGTCCAAAAGGAGGTCAGAGTAGCACAGGCCAAGGAATGCCCGAGCGGTTGCTCAGTGACCTTGAACGACTCCGTGGGGAGGGCAGCTGCTGGGCGGGTGGGAGGGGGGGATTTCCTTGGGACACAAATGAGCAGCTCATAACCAATCCCACATGAGGAGATGACCACGAAAATGATACCTTAACGGTCTCAAACCAGCGTGGCTGCTTCACTTGGTAGTAAATCACGGACTTGTACTCTGAAATCGCTTCATCGCCGGCCCCGGGGAAGATCACGTGCTTCGAGAGAAAGCAGAGTCCACGTAAGCGCTCACGGAGCTGGACAGGGCACCCATCTGAGCCCACACGTCCCCTCCCCAGGAGGAAGAGGGCGGGAGCTCCAGCAGCACCAGCAAACCCACGGCAAACGCCATGGGCTCCGGCAGCCTGCCCGACCCCTGCTCCCAAACAGGAAGCACCCAACAGCCACGAGACACGGGACCGCGAAGTCCCCGGGCCCCTGATCCTCACCCTAACCCTTTAACATGAGGAGCTGCAGGAAGTCGGCCGGTTCACTCAGTAAAGCCGGAATGTAAGGCAGGAGATCAAACAGAAGGTGGTCACTCTTCTCTCCCTCCCTCCCTCCACCCGTGAGTACCGGCCAATGGACACCAAACTGGCCCAGCCCACTGGGTATGACAGCACTCCCTGGGCTTCCAGGAGGGCCACTCACAGGAAGGCCAGCAGGCCCCTGAGGGCACAGCAGAACCTCCGGAATGAGCCCAGGACACTGCTGTCCAGCATGTGGGCCCAGCAGAGCCCACCCTCCAGTCCCAGGTCCTGAGGTGCCACCTAGAGACACCTGCTCTGGTCATCACCACAGCCTCCAACCCCGCTAAGTGGACCCTGCAGGCTGCTGTGACCACGGAAGCAGGAGAGCTGCACCACCACCCTGTGGGACACAGGCAGAGCCCAGACTGTGGTGGGCAGAGGCCCAGACTCCGGCTCCACTTCCATAGCTCCCCAAGGAGACCCTGAGCACACTGATTGCTCAGGACCTCAGGACTGGTGACAAGGATGCTGCCTGCACTGCTCACGTGACTGCCGGACGTCTGGGCAGCAGGGGAGACCCTGCCATGAGCAGAGTTGGGCTGGAAGGCAGCCGAGGCCGCAGGGGCCGGAGACAGTCGCCGTGGGGACCCAGTGCACACCGCACCCCGTGAGGTGAGGTGGGAAAGGGGCAGCCGGAGCTGGAAGGCCAGCCCATGCAGAGTGCAGCAGGTGCTGTGCCCATGCAGAGTGCAGCAGGCGCTGTGGCAGGCACGGGACCCGGGGGCCGTAACACAGAGCCCCCTGACTAACCACACTTACCTCCAGTCGCTTCCCGTCCTCATCGTACACAGACACTGTGACCTCGACGTTCTTTGCCGTCGTCTTGCTTCCTTTATCAAAGTCTCCCTGGACTAGCGTCACATAGATATCATTCCGGACATCACCTGGGGGTGGAATCACACCCGTGACACCAACCCAGCACTCACAGCGCAGCCATGCATTCTGCAAAAGTAAGGAGCTACCCATCCCACCGGAGCCTCAAAAATGCTGCATTCCAGGATCAGAAAAATTCTCTACTAAACAGTGTCAGCATTGAAAGGCACGAACAGTGCAACCTTCACCACCATCCTCATCCTCATCAGACTCGCTGGAGGAAGTAAACAGCCAAGGCCTCTGATAAGCGGCTCGGTTCACCCCTGGGAGCAGCCGAGGACCACGACGGCTCCAGCGCCGCTGATGGAGCTGCAGGAGCCCAGGCCGTCCCCAGCATCCTCTGTCCGCTGCTGGCTGCGGTCACCTGAGCAACAATGGCTACACCGACCGGCACACCCCCGGTAGAACTGGCAACGTGGCACGCCCCGCTCCACACTCTGCCACAGTGCCTTACTCCAGGAGTCAAACCCACTGCTGATTACGAGTTAGACCCCCAAGCCTAGGGCCAGGCACAAGGGAGGAGGCAAGTGAGTGCTGTTCTCTGCTGCAGGCAGCTGCCGGGTTCCACAGAGAAGAGGCCTGTGGGTTTCCAAGGGAGATGGGCCTTTACCTAGGGGGTGGCGGGGGTGCGAAGGGTAAAATCAATGAGATCTCTGGCTTCGGATAGGCGCAGCTCCAGCCACTGAGACCATCTGGGGAGTGAACCAGCAGATGGAAGACCTCCCTCTCTCTCTCTCTCTCTCTCTGCTTCTCCTCCTCTCTCTATGTAACTCTGCCTTTCAAATAAATAAATCTTAAAAACAAAAACAAAAACAGAGCTTGAGACTTCTCCCCACCGAGACAGGAGCCCCAGCAAGGGTAGATGGGGGACACCTCCCAGGGTTTCTTAGCAACATGACTCAGTGGGAAAGCCACAGCCCAGTGCTTCCTCTGCCGTCTGCCTGACCACCCCCACGCCAGACCTCTGCTCTGCACTGGGCACGCGAACAGTGAGCAGCAGGTGGCCCCTCAGCTAACAGACAAGGACCCCTGACAAGGAAGCCCTCCTTTTTTCTTTTTCATTCCTTTTTTTGGCAACCGCTTTATTCTGACTTTTAATGCAATCGACTATTAAATTGAGTTTTCATTTAAAAGTCATTATTATAATAACCCCGAAGGGTTGCTACCACGGCCGCACTAGCTGCTAGGGAAGGAAGTGCGGCTGCAGCCGCTGAGGCTGCCCGAGACGAGAAGACGGATGGAGCAGCAGACACGGCTGCCCACCCAAGACTCGCCACTCATCAGCTTGCGACCCTGGAGACGCGACGCCACCTCCCAGGCCACCCCTGCTGACCAGCCTCATCAATAAGATGGGTCTGACAGCCTCAAAATCCTCCAAGGCAGAAAAACCATCACTAGAAACCGTCTCGCTCCCAAGTGCGCCCAGAGAGAGGTACTGCGGGGCCACTCGTAGCAGGTCAACTCCAAGGCAGGCACACTCAACACCTCGCAGGTCCCAGGTCCTCGTTCTGGGAGGGAGGGGAGCAGGATGCCGGCCACCCTGTAACTCAAGGAGCTCTCAGCTTCCCTCCCACAGTCCTTCAAAGGGATTCCAGGGAGTCAGGAGAAGCACAGGAGCCAGCCAGGAGGGTGCGACACAGTCTGCTGCTGTCCAGAGAAGAAGCTCATCTCAGCACTGGCCCACGCCGACAAGGGGACAGGGGACACAGGGTCTGAGGGCTGAAGATGCAGACGTAACAGAAAAGCAGCTGCACTGACTTCCCAGTGCCCACCTGACCAGGGATGGCTCAGCCAACAGAGAATGCGGGCGACACTCAAGCTAGACGCCCCCGCCCCAGGACTGCTCCCCACTGGGACTCAGCAGTGGTCAGCTGCAGGTTTCCCCACAAGTCAATCAAGAGATGATGGAAGCATTGCAGCTTATGGTTCAAGTCTATCCTAAAGGGAATGCCTCCAGGTAGCCAGAGGCCTTGGGGTTTCCCTTGGCATATGAGACAAACTAAGGCCACCAAAATAAATGCACCTTATCAATGATTCCACTGTATCTAGAAATCTACATCTCAAACCCCAAGGCACACGGTGAGCCCACAAATGTGTCTACTCCCGGGAATAAGTCTAAGTTAATCTGTGACGGACGCAGGGACAGGCAGAAGCTGTTCCGTGTGCCACAGTCTGAGTGCTCACACTCCCCAATCTCAGAGGTCCCTCGTGTGGACTTCTCAAAGAAGCCAATAACCCACAAGAGTCCTGGAAGACAAGCTGGGCAGAACACGTCCCAGGCTGCACAGACGCAACCCGACCGTGACTCCGCGGGCTGCTCTGGAGCCACCGCTGGCCCTGAGAGCAGAGTGGAGGCCTGAGCAGTGGGACTGCCACACACCGCGTGGTCGGGCCCCCGATCGGCCGTGGGACCTGAGGCTGCCGTCGGTGAGGTCCACAGCGACAATCTGCAGACATCTGAGGTCCTGATGCAGATCAACGAGATTATTAACGTGCGCGCCACTTGCAAACCATAAATATTAACGCGCTCCCAAAGATCTCTTGATGAACACCTCAGATGAATAACAGGAATGCTACTTGGAGACTGAAAAGCATGATGCAAACCTAAGAGGTCAGTGTCATCACGGGATCCTACCGTAGGTCTAGTCGGCTTCCAGGCCTACAGCCGAGCCGCCGGAGCGACACCAGCATGGTAACGGACGCTGCTGGAGCAGGCGCGGGTGCTCAGTCACAGGCCTGGCCCCTCCACTCACCCCAGGGTCCACTCCATCTGGGCAGCTCACTTGCTGGACTTTTTCCCTCCTTTAGATCAGATGTCAACCCAGGTGTTGCAAGGAACCTATGCCTCCCTCATACGACCCTTGCAGTTGTAGGGGGCAGGGAGATTATCCCAGCTGGGGCCAGGCAGCCCAGCTATGTCCCACCAGGCTGGCTGCAGCCACGGGCAGCTGGGGTGATCATGACCATGCTGGGGCTCACCCACCACCAGCCACACGCTCAGCCAGGTTACTATCGACCGCTGATCCTTGGGGCCGGCCACACAGTCCCCCGCTCAGAGCCTCAGGCTTCCTCACCAGGCATGATGATCTCCGGGAACCCCGTTTTGCGAGCCACGGCCGTGGTCCTGTCCACTAGATGAGGAAACTCCTTGCGAATCTGATGGACGTCGCCAGGAAGCAACTTCAGTGTTACCCACAAACCTGCAAGAACAAAACGCCTGAGCACGGTCCCTGTGCCGTCTGAGAAGTCTGCACAAAACCAACTGCAGCGAGTGAGCGGCTGATCATTCGCAATTCGGTTATCTGGAGAGAAAACCACGCAGGCCACCGTCCAGGCAACAGCGCGGGGCCCAGGGGAATGATCTGCACCTGAGTGGCCGGGGCCCAGGCCCACGCTGCAGTGCCCGGCACCCAGGCAGTGGCACACCCACGGCAGCTGTACCCGCTGCACTGCCCAGGCCGTGGACTCCGCCGGGCTGACACACGTGTCTGCCATGAACCAGAAGGCAGCGCGTTCCTGGAGGTGGGCAGAAAAAGCTGTCATTTTCCCATCACCCAGGACACATGACAGCAGGGGAGGACCGACCAGGTGAACTCAGCCTCACAGCCAGGGAAAGCCTCCGACTGCTGAGCCACACTGTGGGCCCTAGATGGGCAGCAGCTCGGGGCTGGGAGGCAAGCGGCCGGCCCACATCACTGTCACACACACAGAAGGGACGGCTCTGGGCCCCGCTCAGCTCCTTCCTCCAAGGGAGAGAACGGAGGCTTCCCAAGCACCTAACACAAGCTGCAGGGGGCGTCCCGAAGAGAGGGCGGCCGAGAAGCCGGTTTGGCGTCAATTCTTCCGAGCGAAAACCCCCCCGGGGACCGGCACAGGGTAAAGTGCACGCTTCCAGCAACCAAAGCCAGGAGAGGAAGGGTTTTCAGGGACAGCGCCTTTCCCTGGGTGGGAAGGGGTTGTCGCTGTCAGCGGGCACAAGGGTGGCTCCATCCCCATGGCCACAGGGTCCACCCTGCTGGTTCCCCAGTCCCGCAGCTCTGTGGGGCTCATCTGCCCATCCAAGGACCCATCTTCCCTCACACTACTTGTGTGTGCACCTGTGAGAGGTTGTGTGACTATGTGTGTGCATGTGACTGCTTGTGTGTCCATGTCTGTGTGTAATCTACACACGTGTGTTTCTGTGTTGGTGTTTGTGCACGTGTCTGTGCATGTGTGTACCTGTGTGCGTGTCTGTTTGTGTGTGTGCATGGGTTTCTATGTCTGTGCATGTGTGTTTCTGTGTTGATGTCTGTGTATATATCTATGTCTGTGCATGTGTGTACCTGTGTTCGTGTCTGTGCATGTACGTGTCTGTGGGTGCATGTCTGTGTGTGTATCTGTGTGTGTGTTTCTATGTTGGTCTCTGTGCATGTGTGTACCTGTGTTTGTGTCTGTGCATGTATGTGTCTGTGGGTGCGTGTCTGTGTGTTATCTGTGTGTGTGTTTCTGTGTTGGTCTCTGTGCATGTGTGTACCTGTGTGTGTGTCTGTGCATGTATGTGTCTGTGGGTGTGTGTCTGTGTGTTATCTGTGTGTTTCTGTGTTGGTCTCTGTGCATGTGTGTACCTGTGTGTGTGTCTGTGCATGTATGTGTCTGTGGGTGCGTGTCTGTGTGTGTATCTGTGTGTGTGTTTCTGTGTTGGTCTCTGTGCATGTGTGTACCTGTGTGTGTGTCTGTGCATGTATGTGTCTGTGGGTGCGTGTCTGTGTGTGTATCTGTGTGTGTGTTTCTGTGTTGGTCTCTGTGCATGTGTGTACCTGTGTTTGTATGTGTCTGTGAGCACGTGCTGCCAGTCTGTGCACATCTGTGTGTGTCTATACTTGTGTGTATGTCTGTGCATGTGTGTGCTTTTTAGTGTCTACGTAAGCAAGTGTCTGTGTCTGTGCGTCTGTGTCTGTTTCCGTGTGTGTCTGTGCTTCTCTGTGTCTGTGTTCCCGTGTCTGTGTGTGCATGCCCACGCCTATGTGTCTGTGTTTCTGTGTGTATCTGTGCACGTGTGTGTTCCTGCTCTGGCTGCTCCCAGGGCAGGCCCAGGCACTCATCACAGCAGAGCAGAACACCCTCCATTCAGGAGGAAGAAAATGAGAAAATCAAGCCCTTGTCCACAAGCAGCCAGGACAGAAGTAGCACTGGACGGTGTCCAAAGGACGCCACAGGGAACACCACGTTAGACAGGCTCCCCACACCTTCCGTCCTCTGCTGACTAACCCCAAAAGAGCTGTTCTGGAAACGTCTTGCTGCCTTGCAGATGCCTGGCCGCTGGGGAGGCCCAAGGTCCCACCCTCCTGCGAGAGGAGCTGTGGCTGGAGGATGCCCTCTGCATGTGCCTGGAACCCTCCTGACAGCTACCTGCATCTGCCTCTTTGCCCTGTTGGTTGTTTGGCCCCTAAGGTGGAAGTGGGGCCCTGGCCAGGGAGATGGGGAGGCTCCTCCCTGCACCTGCCGTGCTCACTGCCTGCCTGGCACGTGGCAGGTGTGCACTGGGTCCCTCTGAAGAAGTGGAAGTCTTGCCAGGTGGCTGCAGGACAGGGAGCCTCCTCTCACAGGAGGGTGGGATAGGGCTCCGGAAACCAGCAGTGACCAGGACCCACTGGAGGGGGACAGTGGGGAACAGAGGGTCAGGAGTGAGTACAACCTTACGATGCTCTGCTGGCCGTGTGGGAATGAGCAGATGAGACATCGAGCAGAGTGAGACCCCAGCAGGGCCACACTGTAGGACCCAGGACACTGCTGGACAAGAACTGGACTGTAAGGGGACAGAGAAACCAGCAGAGGTGGAAGAATTGGAGCAGAAGAGAGGCAGCTCCCATGGCCAGTGCCCACTGCAGGCAGGCACGTCAGCAGAGGCGCTCAGGGGAAGAGGACCCCGCAGTGTGCAGAACTCCCCACACCGCAAGGTCACACAGGGAGGAGAACCAGGGGAGCAGGGCGGGGCATGTCCAGGTGACCAGACCATCCACGGCGGCCCAGAAAGGACCCGAGCAACCCAGACCTCGGCAAGGCACTCCTGCTGAAGAGCAGGGCAGGTGCCAGTGGGCAAAGGACCTGAAGAACACAGCGCAGAACAGGAGCAGAGAGCCGCTCAACAAAGAGACAGCCGGATCACTCAGGGCAGGGTGGGTTTCCACCATTTTCTTTTCTGACCTTTCGTGTACTTTTTCTCTGTCTTTATAAGGTATGAAATTCCAGGGGCTGGCGTTGTGGTACAGCATGTAAAGTTCACCTGCTACGCCAGCATCCCAGGTGGGCACTGGTTCAAGTTCCAGCTTCCAGATCCCTGCTAACGGCCTGGGAAAACAGTGGAAGTTGGCCCAAGTGCTTGGGCCCCTGCACCCACGTGGGAGACCCCCAGAAGAAAATCCTGGCGTGTGGCTTCAGCGTGATCCAGCTCAAGCCCTTGTGGCCATTTGCAGAATGAACCAGCAGATGAAACATCTCTCTCGTCTCTCCTGCTCTCTCTGTAACTGACTTTCAAACTGAAATTCCAGATTGTGGGGGAGAGCTAGTGAGAAGCCCAATGAATAGAAAGAGGCCCCCAAAGAGGGTGGGTGGGACACATGTACCACTGTTGAAGACGCACACTGCACAAGGTAACTAAGAAAGGCAGGGGGCAGACAGCTAAATTCTGCAGACGAACTCCAGGAGACAAGCCCAGGAGTGCACGTGGAGCCGGCCCCTGCTGGGACTCCAGGATGCAGCCGAGGCTGCTCAAACACAGGGGCGTGAGTCCTAATGTCCCCCAGGAGAGAGACCGTGTGCAGAATATTCTAACAGGAAGACAGTCTGGGAAGGACTGCAGGCCGTGGGAGGGAAGGACTCGCAGAGGTGCGAGGCAAGCACACGCATGGAACGTCGCTGGCGCTGTGACAAAGCCTGCCGTCCACACCCTCCACCTGCGCAAGCGTCTGAGCTCATATACGCGTATGTGTGTGACCCGATTCAATTTGTACAGCACCAGCTGAACATGGAGATTAGATTTTCCTGATTACATTGAGTTTAAAATGCTCTCCTCACAAGAGAAAATGAGGCCAATCTTCACCCAGAAAAAAAAAAAAAAGTGCACTTGGGGTTGTCATTTGTTTAACCAGAAACACCCAAATCAAATTTGCATACATTACGCCAGCACCAACAGAAGCAGCTGCCGGGGAGGTGTTTGGGGGGTCCCTGTCCACCTCGAGCACCCAGCACCTCTGAGTGCAGGGGTTGGAGTAATTTGGATTAAATATAAAAGACTGTCGATCATGATGAGGAAACTCATGGCCATGAACCCAAAGCAGCCGAGAAGCCCCATGTCGAGGGGACAGAAGGGACAGGTGCTCCTGGGAACAGAGGTCCCGCCCCTCACTCCAGGCTCCCCTGCCTGGATCTGACAGACACAAGCACAGGTCAGTGCTACTGCAGATGGAGAAACAGGCTGCACCGAGCCAAGCCGTACGAACCTGGCCACGCTTGGGCCCTGGCTCCCCGGCTGCCTCGCTCGCAGCTCCCCCTGGAAAGCCTGAATTCCACCCAAGAGGGGGCCCTGGGAACCCTGGGGAACAATGAGGTTTGGGGCAGGGCGCGCCAGCACGGTGACCGGAGGCCCCCTGGAAAACACCGTGATGCTCTTGCCTCTGACTGTGCAGTGCGACCTGAGCACGCCCCTCGTCCCCAGGGCCTGCGAGGAACCCCAGGCCCCGGCCTCAGCCCCTCCACCTCTGCTTCCTGGACTCTGGCCACAGTCAGAGCGACTGGCAGGGCCAGGCTCCCGGCCCCCTGCTGGCCCCAGGCCAGTCTCCACTTTCCCCGCCTGTGTCCCACAGCTCCACGGAAACCCTGACGACTCTGCAGAAGAGCTAGAGCTCCCTGCGCCCCTGCGCAGGGCTCAGGGACCAGCCAGGGGCTCCCCACGGCTTTCAATTAAAGTGCGAATGGGGGAGGGCCCGCTCCTCTGGGAGAAAAGGAAGCCCAGGTCAGCTTAAAATGGCTCCATCTGCAGAGGTCACCTGCACCCACTTCCAGGTGGGGGTGGGGGTTTCTCCTGCTCTTGCTGGCCAGGGATGGGGGTGGGGGAGTACCAGAAGGAGCCCCAAGACGCTGCAAGAGTCCCAGACATTCTTCCAGAACATTCTTCAGACTCAACGGACACTCTGCCTTTGAATGACGGGAAGTCCATCAAGATGACCACCTTTTCACCCTGGGGACGTAGGGGCACTGGACCGGAAGCAGGACTGTTTCCCCAAGCTCTCCCGAGCTTCGCCCAAGTCCGCACGGCTCGAGGACGGAGACCGATTCTCCCACGGGTGGGAGGAGCAGCAGCCCTAGGCCCGATGTCCTGAAGGTGACTTCCCCGCCGGGGCTGCGGCAGGCGGGGGGGGCCTCTGTCTGGCAGCCCTCCCGGCCAGCCGAGTGCCAGCTGTCACCAGCCCGGGTGATTGATCCACGAGCTCTGCCAGCAGAAAGTCAGCTGCTCAGGAGCGTGTGGCGCGGGATCAGAAACGCCGCGGGCGAGACGAGGAGGGGAGGAGACGGCACCGAGGGGAACCGGCCTCACGAGCAAAGTCGTGCTCTCGCAGGGAACAGAGGGAGCCCCAGCAAAGCCCACGGCAGAGAGAGGCCGGCACTCCACAGGGGCGCGGACCCCAGGAGAGGGGAGCTCGGGCACGGGGCGGTGACCTCCAGCCTCCCAGTCTCTCCAACAGTCAGGGGACAGGACCACGTTCCCTGGGGAAGTCGGGGAGTGTTTTCCAAGTGGCAAGAGCGGGAGGAGGCAGCTGGACAAGGAGGGTGGCCAGGCATGGGCTGTCTCCGATTTCATCAGCTGTGGGCTTCTCCCAAACACCCACCCAGACCCCAGCACTCTGTCTCCCTCTCCTGCGGGGGAGGGGGCCCTCAGCAAGACTCCAAAGGGAGATCAGTGAGAAAACCCTTGGCGGGGGATGTGCCACAGCAGGCTAAGCCGCCGCCACCACGCCAGCAGCCCACACGGGAGCACCAGGGTGAGTCCCCGTGGCTCACTTCCAATCCAGGCCCCTGCTAGTGTGCCTGGGAAAGCAGCAGAAGACGGACCAAGTGCGCCCAAGTGCTTGGGGCCCTGCATCCATGTGGGAGACCAGGGTGGAGCTCCTGGCTTCAGCCTCGCCCAGTTCTGACAGTTGTGGCCACCTGGAGAGTGAACCAGTGGGTGGAAGACTCTCCCCTCCCTCCCTCCCCCCCCTTTCTACTTCTGCCTTTCAAGTAAATAAAATCAGTCTTTAAGGAAGAAAGGAAAACCCCTGAGTGTTGGGCACTAGGCCACGCGCTCCACACTCCTCCCACACCCCGCACCAGCAGCAGCAAACAGCGCAGACCGGACAGCACCAGCCCATGTTCCCATAAGCGACACTGACAGACAAAACAGGCAAATACGTACCCTGCCCCTTGTGGTTGACTTCTTTGGCAGCGATGACTTTGTTTATTACAGTCTGAAGGAAGTCATTCTCCCCCGCCACCCTGGGTGAAAAACGGGATGACATGTTCAGCGGCTTGTGGCGGATGGCGTCGTCCAACGCGAGCCTGGAGGGCACGGGATGGGCAACACCACAGGAGACAAAGGGGCACAGAGACCCGGGGGTCACGGTCACAGGGGGGCACAAGAGAGCATCGTCACCGAGCGTGAGCGCCATCGTGAGCCAACGCACGACAAAGGACAGGAGAGGTGACAAGAGAAACAGGGAAAAGCATTGATCAGGAAAACGTGGCACCATGAGAGAGAAGTCAGGCACACAAGGGCGACCCTCTCCCCAGGGAACACAGGTGCACGAGGCCTCCTCTCCAATTGCCTTCGAAGGGACTTGCCCTGCAGGAAGGTGGCTGCAAGGCATTTAACTGCCGCGGATGTTTACGGCCACTTCTCCAACTTTACTCATTCTGGACACAGCACAGGTCAAAGGGGCAGGCGTGAAAAGCAAAATCAAGCACACGCAAGAAAATAGAGGTCCCTCGAGCTAAGTGCACGGGGAAGCTGTCTACCAGGCTCCAGCCAGCCCTGCACACAGCAGGGCCTCCTGTTTGCAGGTGAGAAGAACGGAGTCTGAGACCACCCAGCCTGCAAAGTGAGACTGGAATGCCGTGAGGCCTCCGCACCGCAGGGACCTGCTCCTGGCCACGCACCAGGAGCCGTCACAGCGGCTGCTCCTGCACAACAGAGTGAAGCCACGTGGGCGACACCTGCAGACACCTCACAGCACGGAACCAAGGATCCTGCACCTACAGTCTTCAATCGGTTCAGGCAGCAGGCACGGCGGAGCCGTCCTCGGGCCGCACAACTCAAGGGAGCCGAGGACGGTTTCAGTTACCGCCAGTCGACAAGGCACAGACAGCTGTGTGCTGGGCTTCCTTCTCTGCGAGACAATCAATCAGTTTTAATGGAGCAAAAAATGGTTTCCTTATCGTGACATTTGCCAGAGACCTGGTTTCACTGCTTCTTTTGCCATGAAAAGCGTGCTGCTCTTTTGCTTCTGACACTACAAATATTAATCTGTTTATCCGTCTTCCTTTAATGGAGTAAGGAGTCACAAATTACTGAAGAGTTAAGCATGCAATAATATCTTTTAAAGAGTATGTTTCCACTAAAAGATAGCAAAGACGGTGCACAGTACAGGTGGCTCTCCAAGCTTATAAAGAGCCCCAGGAAATCTGCAGATCTGTAGCCCATAACCGTACTTATTTCCGAACAACAGAGACTTTTCCTCCTTCACTTGTCAAAGAAAACTGGCAGGCAACAGGTGTAAGAATTCTGAGGTCTGATACACGATGCAGCATGGACAACAGCGGGGGCTGCACTTCACAAACACGCAGGAATGGAACTCGAAGATAAGTATATTTGGGCGCAAAGCAATTTCTGAAATCCATGCATAGGAGGGTCTTCAAAAAGAAACTGAAAATGTGCGCTATGAAAAAAAATCTATGCACAGACACCAAATTTTTCTGCAGCAAAATAAACGTGTCTTTTAATTCCATTTTACTACAAACCTTTGGAGACCCGCATCTTTCTCATGGGCAAAATAAGCAATGTAGGACAAGTCGATAAAGGTGCACTTTCTTTATTACAATATCTGCCCACGTTCCAAGGTGATGCTCCCCTTGCTCTCTGGGGAAATTTCCAGATTCTGCAGAACGGCGCTCACCTCTAAGCTGTCTTCACTGCAGTGGACTCCAGAGACCGTTCTGCACTGATGACCACGGCCACAGGTGCACGTCCACTACGGCAGCCACCAGCCCATATGGAAGTGAACTCTTGAAATGGGACTGATGTGGTGGAGGGAGGAAATTTTTCATTCTTCTTCATTTTAAGTAATGGAAATAGCCACACAGGGCTAGTGGTTACCGTACTGGACAGAACAATAAACTGCTGAAGCTGCAAAAGACCTCCCTGCCTCCCGCCGTGCATGGGCAACCGCGTATAAGCCGGCTCCGGCTGGCAGTGCGAAGGAGCAAGACTCCTCTGTCACTCTCCTGTCTCAAAGATGGCAGAACCCTGCAGAGCAACACAAAGGCCTCTGCAGCCATCTGACCGGGCGGTCTGCCTGTGCGGAAATGGAAAGCCCAAGCCCATCCATCTTGAACAAGCAGCACTCGGGCCCCGGATGGAGACAGGTGGTCGGCCCATCAGGAAGCATGCATGGGGCAGAGAGAAGCCAACCTCACCCCTCTGGCCCCCAACAACAGGGCTCCTTCCACCTCCAGGCAACAGCAGCCTCCCTGGTCCTCTCAGCCAACACCGGAAAACAAGGCAACTTTTCTACGACAGAATCCTTGTCAAGCCTGAACTGACTCCACGAAGGCAAGGTGAGGACAGAAAGCGCAGCACAGCAGGGGAGTCTCGCTCACCTTCCCACTCAGTCCGCTTCTATGACCTCACGTCTGAGGAGGAACCTGCCTCCTAGCGAGCCACTCTAACTCCTGGCTACTTCTCTCCACCTCTGCCTGGGTCCGAGCGGTCAGAGGTCAGAGGCCACCATCACGATCCCCGCCAGGGACACAGACAGCAAATCCTTCCAGCCTCTTCCACGGGTTCCACTTCAAATCAGAGAACCGACTTCACGAATCCCCCTAACGGCTCCAGGCCAGAGCCACACAGAGCCTACCGCGTGGCAGGCACGGGCCCAGTCCTCTCTAGGCAAGAACCAAGATGGGCAACTCAGCAGCACGATTATAGGTTTAGAGTATTATTTCCCACTTGACAAAAGAACTCATCTCTATTCTGTTTGCTCTTCTGTTTAACAAACAGCAAGCTCTTGTGATGAAAGTGTTGTATTCCGAACATGTGAACAGCTACGAGAATAAATCAATTACGGAAAGAAACAGTCACGCTCCGGGCAGAGATGTGATTCTTCTGATCAGGCAATTCAGCGATCACAGGTACAATCTACTCCCAGGACCACAAACAAACTTTCATCTGGGATTCTTAGGGCTACAGTATTTCCCCCTGCAATCACGGTGATTTAACAGATTTTTCATTATTACACATCAATCAGTCCCTACGTGTGCTTAACCTTGATTACAAACACAGGATTTCTAAGCCGTCTCTGCCGAAGTCCTTGGATGGCCCCATACTTACGGCTGGAAGGGGATGAAGTGCTGCTTGTCTTCGTCATCGACTTTTCCATTTATGATGTCTGTTACGTCCATCACTGGGGAAGAGGAGAGAACAGAGACGCTTTGCTTTACGAACTAGAACCATTGAAAACAACCCCACGGCTCCCCTGTATCTTCCGGCAAACCCCAGCGGAAGCTGGGTGGTGGCCTTTTCTAACTTCTAAATTGTTTGCATGCGTGAGCGACAGATTAAGTTGTCTAAAACTGCCGGCCCCAGTGAGCTTGGGCTCAACTGGTAGAACCCCACTGAGTGATCCAGCTCTCGGTCAGGAGCTGGTGTGTCCCAGAGAACTGCCTGTGGTGACCAAGATGTTCTAAAACAACGAGGCCCTCAAATGCAGCAGGCGCGAAGCTGGAACTGAATTTCTACGCTGATGTCACTCATTAACATTTGCATTCACACAGCCACGTGTGGCAAGAGGCTACCGCATTGGACAGTGCCACTCTGCCCTCCACAGAAGTTATTGCATTACCCAAATAATAAGAAAACCACGTCACCAGGTGCGTCACACATGCCAGGGTCTGGAGGCTGATTCCAGCAGACCCTGCAAGGCTAATGTGCACATGCACCTTGCACACCTCTCAGGAAGGAACGAACTTGTCCAAAATCACACACCAGGAGGTCTCCAATGCACAAGCACTTCCCATTTTGTTAAACTGCCTTTGCACACGCATAACCCTGGGCAGTCCTGGCTCGTTTCCGCAGGGAAGGCTGTGTAACCAGCACAATACCCGTGTTGAAAGAACAGCAATTCATTACATCTCCAGCTCCCAAACAAGATCCCTCTGCCCTTGATTGTGGCTAGCAGAGCAAGAATAGGTGTTGGCATGGTGGCACAGCAGGTTAATCCCCCCACATGCAGCACCAGCGTCCCATACCAGAGCACCAGTTTGAGTCCCAGCTGCTCCACTTCTTTTTTTTCTTTGTAAAGATTTATTTATTTTACTTGAAAGTCAGAGTTACACAGAGAGAGGAGAGGCAGAGAGAGAGAGAAAGGTTTTCCATCCAATGGCCCACCCCCCCAACTGGCCACAATGGCCAGAACTGCGCCAATCCGAAGCCAGGAGCCAGGAACTTCTTCCCGGTCTCCCACACGGGTGCAGGGGCCCAAGGACTTGTGTCATCTTCCCAGGCCACTGCTATCCCAGGCCACAGCAGAGAGCTGGACGGGAAGTGGAGCAGCCGGGTCTCAAACCGGTGCCCATATGGGATGCCAGCGCCTCAGGCCAGGGTGTTAACCCACTGGGCGACAGCACCGGCCCCTCTGCTCCACTTCTGATCCAGCTCCCTGCTAATGCACCTGGGAAAGCAGAGGAAGATGGTCCAAGTGCTTGGGCCCCTACTGCCCACATGGGAGACTTGGATGGAGTTCCTGGCTCCTGGCTTCAGCCTGGCCCAATCCCAGCAGGTGTGGGCATTTGGGGAGTAAACCAGTGAATGGAAGATCGTTTTCTCTCTATCTCTTCCTCTCTCTTTCTGTGTAACTCTTTTAAATAAATAAAATAAATTTTAAAAAAGAGAGAGGGAGGGAGAGCTAGAGAAAATGCAAGAACAACCCTAGGCAGCACTGGAAATCCTCTGTCAGTCTGCCCAGCCAGCACACTTGACCACAGACAAGAATACGTGGGCAATTCTCATTCCCACCACCAGCACTCCCAAAAATGTGGGGCAGGATCGGAAGGACAGGGAGATAGCATTCCCATCCCACGCTCGGTGTGGCTGAAACTCCACAGGCACTGCGCTGATCTGACAGGAGGGTGAGATCCAGGCGGAAGAGCCCCAAAGAGATTGGAACATGAAGCCTGGTTCGAGTCTTCACGTGATAGAAGGAATTCGCAGCTTGGGCCACTCCAGGGGGCGACTGGCTGACACCTGAATGCACCAAATGTTAATTCAAAATCATTTAATTCAGCAGCCCTGCACTCACTGGGTCCCTGACACAGCACAAGCAGTCTGGGTGTGGCGGACCCTCCCTGGCATGCCGGTCTTGGGCACTCGCACACCACACCTCTCTCTTTTGCCACAGGACTCTTCCAACCCCCTCCCCCAAATCTGAGTCCCCCAAACAGTCCAACTCACTTGCCAAGTACCCACAGCCCCTCTGGATCACACGCAGAGCTCAGTATTTGCAGGTAGACAGCAAGGATGCAAGAAATGCACGTTGGGTCTAGATGCCCACGTGCTGAACACAGCCCTAGAACTGCTACTAGCTATGAGGTACCCCCAACCCCAGCTCCAGGGAAGGAAGCGCTGAGGCCATGGGCCACCGCGCACTTTCCGAAGCCCCATCCTAACCACTGCTCATCAGCACACAGGCCGTAGCCCAAGACGTCCTCCTGAGCTTTGGACAAGACGTCCCTGTCGCCAAAGGAGGAGTAAAGGACTTGGGGTCTCCACGCTCAGGCAGGGAGGTGGGCTCAGCCGAGGAGGACGTGCGTGGGGTGAGGGCCAGGAGGCCAGTGAGCAGGTAGCCACCACACAATGCCAGAAGCTGAGGGACAGGAGGGGGACAGTGGCAGTAGCGTCAGCATGACCGTGATGGAGGACCAGAGAACAGGGGCGTGTGGCTCCGCCCCCTCGGGGGACCACGAGCACACAGCTCAGGAGGTGAAGAGCCACACCGTCCCACTCAGCAACTCCACGCCAGCCACACGGCTCTGAGAATAGCCAGCAGGGGCTGCTTCAGGGTCAAGGGCACTCACGCCCGTGCCCTAGTTCACAGAGCTGACTCCCCAGAGCCATCGTCACAGGACTCCGAGAGCATGACGCAGCCTCAAGCTGCAGCCACGGAAAGTCCGGAGGTGTGACTGTCACTTGATACAGTGAGATCTCACCTACGATGTTGCCGTTTTAGAAAGACTAAACCACTGGCCCCGTGTCTGAGCCCCTGCCACCCACGCAGGAGACGCGGACTGAGTTCCCAGCTTCTGGCTTCAGCCTGGCCCAGCCCTGGCTGTTGCAGGAATTTGGGGAGCAAACCAGCAGATCCCTCTCTCTCTCCCTCGGCCTCCCTGACTTTCAAACAAATAAACACAATCAAGAAGAACATGTCATGTGACTATAATCAACTGCACAATAAAAAATGGTTAAGACGGGGACCTGCTGGTGGAAGGTCCCAGTTCCACCCAAGCCAGGCAGCGTGAACATCACGCCTCCAAGAATTCAAGGCAGAACGCAGCCAGCAAAGCTAAAACATGGCCCACAGGGATTTCCAGGAGCCCAGAGGCTGTTGGGTGCTAACATCAGGAAACAGGAAAGGAAGGAGCCACAGACCAGTCCAGACAGGCAGAACCACGAGCCACAGGCGTATCCACGTGCTCGGCAGAAATCAAGGGACAAGACAGTGGCAGCCGGGGCTGGGGCTGTGGTACAGCAGGTTAAGCCACTGCCTGCATGCACACCACGCCAGCGCCGCTCCAAGTCCCAGCTGCTCCACTTCCGATCCAGCTCCCTGCTAGTGCACCTGGAAAGGCAGGAGATGATGGCCCAAATACGTGGGTCCCTGCACCCACATGGGAGACCCAGATGGACTTCCAGGCTCCTGGCTTCAGCCTGGCCCAGCCACAGCCATTGCAGCCCTATGAGAGAGAACCTGTGCATGTAAATTCTCTCTTTCTGTCTCTTCCTCTTTCCCTGTACCTCTGCCTTTCAAACAAATAAATAAATCTAAAAAAGAGAGAGAGAAAGAAAAGAAAGGAACAACCCAGGCTTCAGCCAATCCTGCAGAACTCCAGGAGCAGGGCCTGATGTGACTTGAGACCGCACAGAGCAGAAGGGAGAGGCCACCATGGTGTCAGCTGGAACTAAGACCCCCACCTCTCCACCCGTCACCCGTCACTCTGCAGCATTTCCTGAAGCATCAAAATTGAACCCACAAAAGCTGAAAAATTCCCATTTTAATCAAAGGAGGCAAAATCTGTCAGTCTAGAGTCCACGTAAGTTTTAAGAAATCAAATTATGGGAGCCAGCGCTGTGACATAGTGGGTGAAGCAGCGGCCTGCAGTGCCAGGATCCCATATGGGCACCGCTTCAAGTCCCGGCTGCTCCTCTTTTGATCCAGCTCCCAGCTGATGGCCCGTGCAGCCACATGGGAGACCTGGAGGAAGCTCCAGGCTCCTGGGTTGGATAGGCCCAGCCCCAGCCCTTGCGGCCATTTGAGGAGTGAACCAGTGAGTGAAGACCTCTCTCTCTCTCTCTCCCTCTCTCCCTCTCTCTCCCTATCCCTCTGTGCCTCTGCCTCTCTGTAACTCTGCCTTTTGAATAAATAAATCTTCAAAAACAAAAGAAATCCAATTATGCATCAAAGGAGTTTCTCCCTGGATCTCTCTGTAATCTAATCGCAGAGGACGGAGCACGGGGCTGAAAGAGGGGCAGCTCCAACAAAGTGTCGGGGGCTCTTCGGAGGGCTCCAGAGAGACCTCAGACACCCAAGGCAGAAACGGGATACTTCCAGAAAACTACACAGAGCTGGGGAAAAACCTCAGAAACTACAGGTGTTTGAACTCTAACATCAGATGACGTGCGAAAGATGCTGTGAGTTCTGAAGAAGAGGACAGTCTATATTCAAGTATTAAGGGACAGAGATGGCCAAGAATTTCCCCAGCCCACGGCCTCGAGGACCTCAGCAAGGCAATGTCATGTTCAGCATTTCTCCTATCAATGTGGCATCACTGGAATACACCATTAAGTAAGTTGAATTAGTGTGCTTCTTCCTCATCATGCCCATGTCCCTGCTATTGTTTATGCCTTCTGAAGTGGTAAATCATTTATTTAAGTGATTCTCCAGGCGGCACACGGGGCATGGTCAAGGCAGCGAGACTGCTGTGTGCGACACTGGAATGCGGAACACGTGGCATCATTCAGCTCTCAGAACTCAGAGAATGCACAAACACCGGTACAGACCAGGGACCTGGGGTGACAGGGACGTGGTGGGGCAGGCTCGTCGCTGCCAAGGGACAGAGGGACGAGAAGGCTGGGGGCTGGGGGCCAGGGGTGTGTGAGGACCGTCCGTATTCCCCGCTCAGCCTTGACTGGACTGAAGCTTCTCCACAAATCGTCAGTTTAAAAGCCAGGGGGCAGAGGCCCGAGTTCTGAGTTTCCTGGAAGCCAAGGCAAAGACCGAATTCCATAGCTATTCCTACCTATCAGGAACCAAGAAAGGTTCCCAGATTTCATAACCAGGATCCAAAGAATCACAAAAAAGGACAAAAAATGAGTATCAGAGGGTGGGGAATGAGATTCCACAGCAACCATCAAAAAGGCAAGGAAAAAATGTCCCCAAAAATTCTGAAAAAGGAGAGTGCCGGTGACAGAGGCCAAGTGGTGGGAACGTGCTGGGGCCGCGTCCCTCTGTCCTCAGCGCGGTCACTGGGCCCTGGCTCTTCTTGTGCAGTCGCCAAACAGGGAGGAGAAGCCCCCATGGCTGCCCCGCACATCCTCGTCCCGGTCGGCTCCTCTTCCTCATCACCACCGCGACCATCCTGAGCTGAGCCGGTCCTCCATCAACCCCCTGCCCAGACAGCCTGAGAACCCCCACCCCTGGGCCAGGGTCTCTCCCCAGGAACGATGCGACCCGCTTCCAAAGCAGGTCATGACTGACACCTGGCACGCTGAGCTTGGCGGGTCAACTAACAGATTCTTTTTTTCTGAAAACAATCGACCAGAGCTGCTCACTGTCTGGTATTCAACAGCGGCTCGCTCTCAGAGCGCACGAGCTCGTCTCAAACTCCCAAGCAAAAGGCAAGAAATTACCGGCCACGCCGAACGGCCGCCGCAGGCCCGAGGTCAGCTTCCGCGTGTTGTTGTCCCTCAGTTCCATGCGGCCCACGCGGACAATCTGACACACGAAACTGATCTTCTCCCTCTTCAGGTCTTTGCTCCCGAGATCCTGGAAATGTTAATTTCCATAAATTATTTTGGAGAACCATTATTCAATGCAAGTTCCACTGAAAAGGACAGTGCAAAGATGGATTGAGACTCTTTAATCAGACCGGTTTTAAGCATCTTAAAGTTATTCGCATGACAAAAAGGAAGTGAATAACAATAGTCAATTAAAGTTAAGTGAACTTAAGATACAAATTTAAGAGACCTGCTCCATGCTAATGGAGTAAGTGTCTGCCAAGGTGACTCCGAGGGCAGCTGGAGACTCCTGGATGCCGGAGAAGCCGTTCGAGCAACACCGTCTTAACCCACGCCGCCTTAACCCACGGCACATGTGCCGGCGCAGGAGGGAGTCGGAGGGAAGGCACCAAGGCTTCACCATCCACTTACGGTAAAAACAGCTCGCAGGTTATGCAATCTGTCTATATCCTTGGGTAAGCCCGAGCTTGACCAGCGAACCAGGTAGTTTTCACTGGGAAAAGGGAGAAATAAATCAGATTAATTTTCCAAATATTACAGGTTACCAAATGTACACCCGCAATGCCTTCTACTTAACACCGCGTCGGTCCTCTGTGGGAGCAGCTTGCGGTTTATAAACATCGGCTACAACAACTAGAGCTGCTCCTCAATTAACAGACACCGCAGAAAACCCTCAGGGGGGTTTAATGTGCTTGTCTTGAGTGATAACTGTAATGGAACGATCTGCAGATGGCATTTCCAAATTTATTATTTTAAAAGTCCATTTGTTCCCTTAGAATGATGCTCGCATAAAATTCAACACAATGCGCGTTTCTTTCAGGCTTATGACAAACGAAATACTCCAATAAATACAAACTGCATCCTGTGTCAAGAAGAAATACAGTCCTTATTAGAAGCGAGAATGAAATGCACCCATTGGGTCTGCTGCCGTCAGAGCCCGAGCTGCATAACTGTGCAGAACGCGAGAGAAGACAGGGAGTTGTAGCACAGACACACACGCCTCTCACACAGTTTAAGGGCAGTGTTTCCATCCAGACAAAGGAGAAGTTATACTCAAGGCTGAAGCACAACAATGAGTCTGCAATGTTTTCTTTCAACGACGATGAACAGAGGACCCGCAGGTGGTGGGCACTGCTCTAGACAGCGGGCCGCCGTCCATCCACCGCCTCAGAGACACGGCAACAAGACCAAGGTCAAGCACTGGGAACAAGGAAACACGACCTGGAGGGCGACTGGAAACCGAACCCAACACAGCTGGGCCTGAAACTATCCCCAGGACGTCCCCGAGGTCACTCCACCCCGACAAGGAGAAAGCGAGGTGCACAGGCGCCAGGACAGAGCCAGAAGCAGCCGCTGGCCCCACCGCTGGGGTGGGGCCTGGCACGCAGCTCCCCCACGGGTTCTCCAGGGAGGCAGCAGGGCCTGCTGGTGGCTGCCCGGCCGTCTTCCTTCCACCAACCAAGGGGAAAGGACCGCAGCCAGGAAGGCCCCTACCTGATGAACTTGGACTCCACAGGGTCATAAAGAGACATGAGGACTTCTGCATCTTCTCCTATTTTACAGACCACGTTTTTCAGGTTGACAAACAAGGCCAGAGAAGGGGTGGCAGCAAACTTGGCTTGTCTGGTAATATCCAGGTTCTGCTTCTGAGACTGCCAAGGGACAGAGAGGTGACAGTCAGCATCGGCAGCACTCACCGCCAGCCCTCCAGGGGAGAAAGCGCTGTGTGGCCAGCTGGCCTGAGACAGCAAAGCCACGCGTGCCACTGCGTCCTGCTACTTCAAAGCACGCATCCACTGAAATCCAGCGCCCTATGCAAGGCCACAATTCCGTAACAGCTCATACGCTGCATTCTCAGAACTTTCAGGGGCTGGTTCATTCCCTTCAGCGAATCCGGATGAGGAAGAGACACGCGGCCTGTTTTATCTGCATTCCCTTCTGAACCTAAACCCTCCACGCACAGTGCCATCTTACTCACTCCATCCTGAGTACCTGGCAAACAGCAAACACTCAATTATCAGATGCCAATCACTGTCTGAGTATCTACCAAACAGACCACGTTGTTAACGGTCCCAGAAGATGATCAGGAAGACACCTGCTCCCTGGCCTCACAGAACCTAGAATACATCACTCACACCCCAGCAGAGGGGGAGGGGGTCCCACTTCAGAGGACACCTGCCCTCTGAGGCGAGCCACCACGCTGGGGCCTTCCTGAAATTCTCCTGATGTTGCAAACCACGGATGAGACACTGCGTTCCAACCACGGATGACACGGTGCGGGCTGGACTCACCTTCTCTTCTTGCAACCGTTCCTCCACTTGCTTCGAAGCAACTTCGTGAGCTCTGAAGAGACTGATCGTGCTGGTCAGTTCTGGATCCAAAATGTTTCCATCTTCGTCTCTCACCACCAGGTCCAAATCAAGAATTCTAGGACGACAAGAAATCAGAACTTCACAGACACTGAGCCGCTGTTTAATTCTCTCGCATAACCTCAGCCCCAGCACTAGCAGGTGAAAGGTCACGCGAAGTCAAGGTCACTCCCTAGTACCAGGGGAGACAACCCAAAGAAGCCACTGTCTTTCACTCAAAAAGCATCACCTTGGGGGCATTTTAAAAAGAACTTTTCTGGGGCTGGTACCGTGGCGCCGGCATCCCATATGGGCGCTGGTTCTAGTCCCGCCTGCTCCTCTTCCCATCCAGCTCTCTGCTGTGGCCTAGGAAAGCAGTGGAAGATGGCCCAAGTCCTTGGACCCCTGCATCCATGTGGGAGACCTGGAAGAAGCTTCTGGCTCCTGGCTTCGGATCAGCACAGCTCCAGCCATTGCGGCCATTTAGGGAGTGAACCAGAAAATGGAAGACCTTTCTCTCTATTTCTCCCTCTGTCTGTATCTCTACCTCTCAAATAAATCAGTAAAATCTTCAAAAAACAAAGAACTTTTCCTCAATTTTTACTCCCACTGCAATCACTCACGTCGTCCTCCAATGAGAAACTGTTACAGTTCTACATGGCACAGTGAAATGTGTGATTACTGTGCGAATCAGGGACAGCTGGAAGCACACACTGTGTACACTCACACACAGACGCAGTCACACCCCCACACGCTCACACTCACACACACACACACACACACACACAGGCCGGCCCCTGTGACACCATCCCTGGGCAGATGAGGGAGAGAAGCACGACCTGAGACACACCCAGCGCACAAGTCAGCTGGACACGGTCCGGCAAGGTGCCCACGGGGTTTTCCCTATCCCTGGGTCCTCTCTCATCCCTCCACGAGAGGCCACTGGGACAATCTTCAGTGAAGACGTTCCCGGTGTCTGGACACGGAACATATGGACGGCATCCACGCTAACGTTAGGCAACTTCCTGGCCAGCTGGCTAGACACGGTAGCCCACTTAAAACACGGCAACAGCTGCCTGCTGAGTCCGTGCCGCCCGTGTCTGGGAGCCGTTCCTGGCGACACCCTCTCTGCGTCCCCAGATCCAACACGCGGTCAGGTGGTTTCTATTCTAGAGAATGAACACAGGCAGTGTTGCAACAAAAGGCATCGATGACCTGCAGCAAGGACCCACAGGCGCCCAGCGCCCCACCGAGGGGGCGAGCCCCCTGCTGCTCCCCAGGCCCTGGACGCTGGGATGTCTGACCGCAGGCCAAGAGAAAGGCTTTTGAAGGAATGACACGTGCGGTTAGAGGATGACGGCACGAGCGGAAACAGAAAGGTCATGTGCCCAGCTGCCCTGTGCCAGAGGAACCGCAGCCTTCCCCTGCGGTCACAGGGACGGTCCACAGGCCAGGCCACGGCTCAGACGGCCTCCGTGTGGGCCTGGGCCGGGAAGCCGGCACCTCTGGGGTGGCAGTCCTCAACAGCTCATCCTTTCCTTTTCGTACCTGTGCCACCATTCCCCTGAGGGGACATGGGTCCCACTGGGCCTGCCAGCATCAAGAGGGGACACGGCAGAGGCTCGGTGCCCTGCAGGAAACCAGCTCCCATGGTGCAAGGTTGCAGGTGGAGCACCTCTCACTCCCTCCTAAACACCCAGCCGGGCACCTGTGCCAGTGTGGGTGGGGTCAATACGGCTATGGGCAGGGTCAGTGCTGTGTGGGTGTCACTGCACGTCCCTGGCATGAGGAAGGCCAGCCAGGTCCTGGGGACACACAGGATGACGCTCTGCCAAGGAACACTGAGACATACGCCCTGTGCCAGCCTGCTGGGGACACTGTGCCGTGTGACCCCACCTCCGCCCCATCAGGAGATCTGACCCCTCACCTACCAAAGAAGAGACCTACGCTCAGAGAAGTTTAGGATCCTGCCCAACACCTAACATCTACAACAGCCCCGAGCCCGGGCTCGGTGTCAGAACCGTGTCATGGCCCACTCTCCCCCACATGACACACGCAAACCGTCCCACCCGGTGGCCCATCACAGCGAGCCACCTGCAGGCCACTCTCAGCAGTGAGTGCCCAGCTGGTCTGTATTAGGAAGCTGCCTTGCTCAACGCAGTCACACACGCCACTGGGACCACCTCCACGGAGCCCTCCAGGACCCAAGGGGAGGGGGGACTCAGAACCTGCGGGCAGGCTCTGCACGCGTCTGTGCGTCATTCTCTTTGGGGGAAGGGGGCGTCGATCTGAGTCTGTGTCCGGCATGTGTACCTGGGGTGTCTGTGGGTCAGTCTATGTGTCTCTGTAAGTCTGTCCATGTCTCTGTGTCCACGTATGACTGTGTATGTCTGTGCTGTGTGTTTGTGCCTTATGTGTACACTTGTATCTGTGTACATGTGTCTAGGTTGTATACGTGCATGTGTGTGTCCATGTCTCTGTGTGTGCATGTGTGTACATGTGTGTGTATTTTGTATGTGCATTTTCCTAGGGACATGTTCCATGACCTTCACCACCCCTCCAATCAGCTTTAGAATTTTTTTTTTTTTTTTGACAGGCAGAGTGGACAGTGAGAGAGACAGAAAGAAAGGTCTTCCTTTGCCGTTGGTTCACCCTCCAATGCCCGTCGCGGCCGGCGCACCGCACTGATGGCAGGAGCCAGGTGCTTCTCCTGGTCTCCCATGGGGTGCAGGGCCCAAGCACTTGGGCCATCCTCCACTGCACTCCCTGGCCATAGCAGAGAGCTGGCCTGGAAGAGGGGCAACCGGGACAGAATCCGGTGCCCTGACCGGGACTAGAACCCGGTGTGCTGGCGCCGCAGGCGGAAGATTAGCCTAGTGAGCCGCAGTGCCAGCCAGCTTTAGAATTAAAACAAAGCAAGAACACATAAATAAAGACTGAAAAGGATGCAAACATTGTATCCTTATGAAATCCGCCCATCTTAATAGCAAGCACTCAAACTCATTGCATTTTGCATCACTTTTTTGTGAAGGAGCCACAAGGAGGTCACGCACAGAGCAGCAGAGACCCCTGAAGACCCCTGGGCCCAAGCCCGGCTTAGTGAGAAATAATTTCATACCAGGTAGTAAATCACATTTGGAAACACTTCGTTCCTTACCTAAGTTATGCCATGACATAATGTAAGTAGGCAAATTCCTGCAGCCAAACCCAGCAGGAAGTCTCCGAATGTGAATTCAAAATATAACCCTCCTTAGAAATAAAAATCCAAGGGGCCAGGGCTGGGGCTCAGCGGTTAAGCTGCCGTCTGCAGTGGTGGCATCCTGACTGCAGTCTCAGCTGCTCCACTTCCCATCCAGGTCCCTGCTAATGTGCCCAGGAAAGCCAAGGAAGTTGGCCCAAGTGCATGGTCCCCTGCCCCCACATGGGAGACCTGGATGAAGCTCCTGGCTCCTGGGGCCTGGCCCAGCCATGGCTGTTGTGGCCATTTGGGGAGTGAATCAGCAGATGGAAAATCTCTGTCTTTCCCTCTCTCTGTAATTCATTCAAATAAACAATCTTTAAAAAACCAAAGAAAGAAAGAAAATCCACACACAAAGTTCGACTGTTGCAAGAAGGCGGTCTTGGAACAAACACATCTAGCATCGCGTGCCCAGAAGTGTGCCCTTCATCCAAACTCCTTGTCCTGCAGCAGTAATCCAGGCCCTGCCGCTTGTTCCTGCGGTTGCTCTAAGAAACCTTCTGCACTGAAAATGTGAAGTTTCTAGGAAACAGGATCACGGATACTCCTGCTTTTCCAGGAGGTTGCTCGTCAGCTCCCTCCACCCGAGCGGCTGGTGCAGGCGTCTTCCCCTCTTGATGCCCACACTGCTGTGTAAAATGAGGGCTCTGGAGCCAGCAGCTTTGCGGTCTGCTGTCCAGCGAGGTCTAACTCCATTTTTACAAGCCGAGGTTTCCAGCCAGCGTCCCAGACGTCACAGATCAGGTTCCTAAGGAGCAGCTCCGAGGATTCTGTGTTTCGAAACTTCTCTGAGTGAGTTCAGTGTTGAAGACATTTGCAAACCATGTGATTGGGTAATTTTTAATACAGTAGAGCTCTGATTCGCATAAATAACCAAACAGCAGCCATGCAGAACAGGACATGAGCTCATGTGGATAAAGAGGCCTGTTGGAGGCCGGCGTAGTGGCACTCCGGTTAAGATGCCAGAATCCCACATGGGCACAGATTTGTGTCCTGGTTGCTCAACTTCCAATCCAGCTCCCTGCGTATGGCCTGGGAAAGCAGCGGGAGACGACCCAATGTTTGAGCCCCTGCACCTTCGTGGAAGATCTGGGTGAAGCTCCTGGCTCCTGGCTTTGGCCTGGCCCAGCCCTGGCTGTTGCGGCCATCTGGGGAGTGAACCAGCAGATAGAAGATTGATCGATCGATCGATCGATCGATCTCTCTCTCTCTCACCCCTCTATGTAACCCTAATTTTCAAATGAATAAAAAAAAGGAGAAGAAGAAGACCTAGGAGAATCAGGGTCCGAGCACCCTGTTCCTCGCAGCGTCAGGAACCACTTGCGGCTCTGCAGCAGAGCGCACGCTGTCACGAAAGGTGCTGGAGCAGGCCTGGGCGGAGGCCTGCAGCAGATGGAGACGTCTGCGGAGACCACTCTGTGGCGCAACTGAACTTGCATTTAGCAGCGCTGTGTTTCTGCTTGTCACGCCCAGCACGTCGGCCCTGGGACAAGCCGCACAGGGACCTGAAACACTGAAACACTTAGGGATCCCAAAGAAACCACAACAGCGGCAAGCCGCCACTGGGAGCAGAAAGCAGGGGACCCTCGTGGAGGGGACCGCTGTGGTGTCCCGGCTGGGACGGTCGGCACGCCAGGCCAGCCTGCCCCGGCCTCGCGGCCCTAGCACGAGCAGCACAAAGGAGAGACGAGCGTAGAGCATGAGTCAGGCAATGCCCCTGATGTTCCTGATCCAACATCCTTTTCAAAATGAAAACCAAGCCCTTACTTGGATGTTAGGAATCCTGCCTTCTGATACAACCTGATTTTGCGGTCCTGAGGGCTCAGGGTAATGTCATTATATCGGATAACGTAAGCACGAAATCATCTTTTAAATAATCAACAAACCTGTTTCCATAATCAATTTTGGCCGTGACCTTCTTCTTGAGTTCTTTGAGCTCGTCCTGGGGCAGAGTTCCGGAAAGAATCTGGGATCGCCACTCGATGAGGTCATAGATCATGTGTCGCACACTTCGAAACATCTCCCTGTTATCTTGCTAGATGGGGGCGAGGAGGGGGAAGCCAACTGTGAGGTTTTGGGTTTCAAACAGCACCGTGGAGGTCATATCAACACACGTAACACGTGCAGCACATGCACTGTGTCATGGGATTTCACTAGCATCAAAGCAAGGTGTTTGCAGCACCCATCGGTACACATTTTGGGGAGGGTGGTTCCTGGAAGACACTAAAATATTAGAAGAAGGAAAAAGCAATATACTATCCCCGAGGCTCCACCCACCCACATAAGAGCACTGGAAGGGGAATCAAGAAATCGACCCCGGCAGGAGCTGAGTGGACCTCGGGCACCACGTGCGTCTCTGAGTTCTGAGCCACCCTCACAGCTCCCTCAGCTTTTCTGAACCTGAGATCTGAATCCCTGCTCCCCGCTGCAGACGTCAGGAACCCTGCATCCTGGCCCTTCTCGACACCCTGAGAAAGAAAAGGAGCCCTGAACCCCACAGCTCACGCAGAGACCCGCCGCGAGAGGCCAGCCTCCATGCACAGGCAACGGGGGCTCCCGTGCAAATCAGACAACATCTACACCTGGAGCATTTGTCTGTATCCAGCAGGGCTGATGCTCGAAAGGAAAATCAGTTTTACAAGTGCAGAGTCCAGTTAACCACGGGAAAGTCCCTGAGTAGTTCTTTCAACAAGAAATGCAGCTGGAGCCTAATCTGGTGAAAACTTAACATTGTGGCACCTTTAGAAAGTGAAAAGGTGACTGGTGGTATTTCTTTAAAATAATTCCCCTCTACATACCTGAGTCTAGTACTTGACTTAATTCTAGAAGCTTCTAAGATCCCCACCACCCACCCATCACACAGCACCCTAATAAGCACTTTTACATCCCATGAGCTATTCTTTATAACATTATCCTGATTTTAATGACTTCCATGAAAAGTAAATAGCCAGGGCTGGCACTGTGGCACAGCGGGTTAAGCCACCGCTTCCAGCATTGTCACTTCTGGTCAGGGCGCCAATACCAGTCCCACCTGCTCTGTTTCCAGTCCAGCTCCTTGCTAATGCGGGAGACACAGATGGAGTTCCAGGCTCCTGGTTCGACCTGGCCCAGCTCAGGCCACGGTGACCATTTGGGTAGACTAAACCATATTTTGGTAAATTGTCTATAACCACAGAACAGAGCAAAAAAATCAAATCAAATATGACACCCATTTTCGGCTTGACTCGGCTTCGCACAAATCCAACCAGAAGCCCATCAGAGGCAAAGTGCAGCTGCGTAAAAGGACCGGGGTGACCGTGAGCAGTGCCTACGCCAGGGCTGTGGCGAAAACCGAGTCCACTGACATATTAGTCAGCATCAACTCCAGTTTGTTTTGTTGCCGTATTTTCGTTTAAAAATTGCTAAGTTGAACACGAAACACCGACTTCAAAATTGCTCGGATTTACACAAAACATTCATGGCTAACTTTGCGCTTTTAGGTTTCTGAGTACATTTGATGAACAATTACTGCAACCGCTTATTACTGTGCATTTATAGGAAACCACTGTATAATCAAAAACAACAGCGAGCAGCTGTGGGGCTGTAGGAAGTCTTCTATGCTCCCGAGAAATTAACACCCCGACTTCCTTCCCGGGCCCTTGCCTGCTGATAATAACATTAGCATATGAGAAATCAACACTCTGACTAGAAATACCGGCTTAACAAAAGGTAATCTTCAGCAAATATGAATTTATGTGCGAAGAAATGTCCTGGGGGAATAGGAAATGGAAGCTGTCAGAGCTTCAACCTCGCCGCATTAATAAGGCTTCTTCCGCGATCAGGAGCACCGGACAAGTGCACACGAAGCCAGAATGTAAAAGACGTCCCCGGCCCTGTTGCAATCACAGTGAAACCGAGGAGCTGGGCAGGCTCCCCTATAGAAGAGGCACTGCCAGAAGTCACATAGGCAAAAATATACGAACAAACAAATAAACAGCGACCATCGTGCAGCGCATCCAACTAAGCAGCACCGAGTCCTGTGTCAGAGCAGATTTCGGTGCCACCATCAAAACATCACTGCTTAGGTGACATCGGTGTGGACAGATGCCGGCACCCGCCTTCCAGCAACCGCACTTCCGTGCCTTATACAAGGCCAGGCAGACCCCACGGCCCCTTCCTTTACTGCCTACCTCGCTACAGTGAGCACAGCGAAACCCCGACTAAGGCAGGTCGAAGGGCACAGGGAGCCCAAGAGAGGCCTGATTAACAATGCTGCTGTCTCTGCCCTCCCAGGCCTGTGTCCTAGAAGTTCTGCTGTTCGGGAGGAAAAGCCCAGCTCGGCTGGACACCACCATGCCGGAGCTAGAAGCCCTCACCACATAGAGCTGCCTCCAGATGGTGGACCACTCGCGGAGCGTCGTGGTGACTTCCTGAATGAGGGGGAGGTCTCCCGGGATGACCGTCTCATGTTGCCTGGAAGGAAGAAGGAGAAAAACGCCGCTGAGCCCGCGGCTCCGAGGTGTGCTGCACCTGCTAAGTCCCACAGGTAGGCCATACAGTTCCCTATTTAGGAAAGAATATTTTCGAGTGAGATTGCGTTCATGCGTATCAACAGACACATCTGTGCAGGACCAGCGATCTTTGCAGAGAGTGAGTGCGGCCACGCCTCAGCCTGCGGGACGCATCACCCCAGTGTCGAGGGTCAGACGCGGGAGGAGAACGACACCCTGCGCGAGCCTCAGGACGTCAAGGTCTGCAGGGAGAGTGTATCTGCCATGGGTGCACCCATCACTCCTACACGAGCCATAAATTACGGCCCATCTGTGAGGCACTGAAACGCACGTCTGGGTTCAGGTTATTTGTACATTTCCATCAAGCACAGAACCCGCTCTGTGGTGCAGTTACCCCTGATGAAACGTGCGTGAGGTCACAGCTTTCCGATGTCTGTGAATTCTCGATCCGATCCCAAGATCCCGACCCTGAATGTCCTCTTACCCTCCTCCCTGCACCCCAAAAGGGTGACCCCGGACTACATCTCGGCTACATGTCATCTACTTGGGCCTGGATTTGATCAAATCACCCACTGTTTTCTGGGCAGTCCTCTGGCTCAGGCACTTTGCAAAATGTAACCGTTCTTTGTGACACGGGGCGAGACTGAATCTGCGGCTTTTCTCCTTAGATTACCAGGCCCCAGAGATCCGCCATGTGGCTAGCATGCAATGAAAGGTGCAGGTGCTCTGAGCTAAGTTCCCCCCACAGCTCTGCATTTGCACGGGGCCTGGGTCTAGGTGAGGGCCCCTGACTATGGATCACAACAGGAGGTCAGGCCTGCAGCGATGCATGGATGGTGGGACTTCCAGACCCAGAGACCAAAAGAAACTCGTTCTCTCCAGAGGGCCTGGAACCAGGTATCTGAGGGGGGTGTGTGCAATACCTCCCCCAGAAATGCCGTCCAGAATCACCCTCTGATGGGACATCAGCAGGGCCCAGCCGGGGACAGTTTCCCAGCGTGGACACTGATGGACACACGGGCTGTTCCATCCGCGCAGAGCCAGCAGGGAGAAAGGCCTCGGCACTGGCGGGAAGACAGCCATCGGCACGAGCCGTTCTCTCTGGACCCCGAGCTGCGCAGTGAGCGTGGCAGCTGCTTCCCACCCGCTTTCAGAGGCCTGGCTGATGTCGCCAGCGGAGAGGGACCCCACGCACCCGCCACACCCTGCTCTCCAGTCTGGTTCCTTCTCGCTTCCCTCCCTTTGGAAGCCCTGATCTGTCCCTTGGTCTAAGGTGCCTCCTGGCATGCAGGTCCCTGGTCTCGCCTTACCTGCCAGGGACCAGGACTCTACACCCCCGACAAGGCCTGGCTGGGGGGGCTGTGGAAAGGACCCAGGGAAGAGGGTCCCTGGCAGAGCCCTGTAGCAGTGAAAGGGACACAGAGAGCTGAGCGGGCAGATGTCGGTCCCCGCTGGGCGGAAGGCCCAGGACAAGGAGACCTTCTGCACGTCACGGGGACTGCAGGAGAAGGCAATGTGCTGGCCCAGCACTGTGGCATTGAGGCTTCAGCTGCTGCCTGCAGGGCCAGCAGCCCATGTGGACACTGCCACGTCCCGGCTGCTCCACTTCCGATCCAGCTCCCTGCTAGTGCTCCTGGGAAGGCAGAGGAGAATGGCCCAAGTGCTTGGGCCTCTGCACCCATGTGGGAGACCTGGAGGAGGCGCCTGGCTTCAGCCTGGCCCAGCCCTAGCTTTTGCCACCATTTGGGGAGTGAACCAGTAAATGGAAGACCTCTCTCTGTGTCTCTCCCACTCTCTCTCTAACTCTGCCTTTCAAATAAATAAATAAACCTTTAAAAAAAAAAAAAAAGGAGCAATGTGTTATGGACTTGAAAACTGCAGAGAGTAGATTTTAAATGTTCTCACTGCAGATAAATGATAACTTTGGGAAGTGATGCATATATACATACATATACATATTTAATAGCTTGATTTAGTCATTCTGAAATGTATACATGCTTCAAGACATGTTCTACAATATTTGTCCATTAAAAATAATACTTTTTGGCCGGCGCCGCGGCTCACGAGGCTAATCCTCCACCTTGCGGCCCCGGCACACCGGGTTCTAGTCCCGGTTGGGGCGCCGGATTCTGTCCCGGTTGCCCCTCTTCCAGGCCAGCTCTCTGCTGTGGCCAGGGAGTGCAGTGGAGGATGGCCCAGGTGCTTGGGCCCTGCACCCCATGGGAGACCAGGAGAAGCACCTGTCTCCTGCCATCAGATCAGCTCGGTGCGCCGGCCACAGCACGCCGGCCGCAGTGGCCATTGGAGGGTGAACCAACGGCAAAGGAAGACCTTTCTCTCTGTCTCTCTCTCTCTCACTGTCCACTCTGCCTGTCAAAAAAAAAATAATAATAATAATAAAAAAAAATACTTTTTTAAAATGATGACGAATGAGACAGAGCAGACACTCAGCCAACAGAGGTGACTCTCACTAGCAACCTCACTCTGTGTTGTCAAGCGAGACACCAGGATCAAGTCAGGGCCGGAGGTCTCAATGCCATGGAGAGGGAACGGCTGAAGGTGTGAGAGCAACAGAGGCCACACAGCAGGGTGTGCAAAAGAGGGATCAGGTCGGGGCTGGCACTACAGCATAGCAGGTAAGTGATGCCAGCATCCCACATGGGCACGGGATGGCCCAAGTGTTTGGGCCCCTGCCATCCATGTGGGAGACCCAGAAGAGACTCCTGGCTTTGGGGACTGAACCAGTTGATGGAACATGTCTCTCTTTGTAACTCTTTCAAATAAATAAATAAATCTTGGAAAAAAAAAAGGCAGGATCAAGACAGAGGAGAAAGGCAGCAACGAGAGCGGGAGGAGAGCAGACAGGGGAGGGCTGGGCAGCACCCAGGGTGACACAGGAAGACGGGCGAGGAGCTCGAGTGCAGGGAGGCCAGCGAGGGCCCCGGCCGCAGCCCAGCCGTGGAAGGGGAACGCGGAGAAGACACCGCGCGTCTGGAGACAAGGCCGCCGGCCGCACGTCAGGAATGGGAACTGCTTTGGTTACGGGGACAAAGGTACAACACGAGTGGCAACAGGCACACAGGAATAATTTGGGGTGTCTGAGAGCGAGAGTAGGGCAGTGCCCAGGGAGGAGGAGGAGACGGAGTGGGAGAGACCCCGACAAAAAGCGGTGCTGCAAGCTGGAAACACATTCCAGGAGAGAAGACCTAGGAGAGAGATGGGAAAATGAACTCAGAGGGCAGACAGGCAGCCGGGGTGGGGCTCCGTGGTGCAGGGGCAGCAGCAGGAGGGAGGGTGAGGCCGGCAGCTCTGGGAGAGAGAAGGGCTGGGACACCTGCCAGGCCTGCAGGCAGCAGGAGGGGCGATGAAGGTGGGGACCACTCACGGAACCCAACACATGAGCAAGGAAACAGCGCTGGTCCCTGCCCCACGTCAGGGCACGGGGGCCAGCAGCAGGGACCCGCGTGTCTGCCGTCTGGCTGGGCGGCTATGGCGCCGCTGACTCAACCAAAATAATCTCCACTCGCTTCCTTGTTGTGCCTCGTAACTACCTTCTCACGTCTTTTCCTTCTGCACACAGCAAAGTGCTGTTACAAACGACTGATCATGGACAATCCGACCTGCATAAGGACTCCGAGAGACAGGTGTAAAGGCATTAAATGCATCCGTCCTGCAGTTAGCCCCACAACAGGATAAAAGCTTCGAAACTTTTTCTTTTCCTTAAGACTTTGCATACAAAACATTGTATCTGTCTAAAAAAAACCCACATTGCAGGTCATCAGCGTTCATGCCTTGAAATTATTTGTTTTAATTATGCATCATAGAACGACAGCCTGAACAGGCCTTTTCATATGTTAAAAGTACAGTGCTTGCAAAGGCAATGTTGTAATCAGCCAGAGATGTCATTATGCATAATCATATGATTAGTAATTTTATAATTTACATATTTAACTGAGTGTGAAGATGTAGCAGAGACAAAAAAAGGAAACACTTTACTGCTCCTTCTTCCAGGTTCACACCTGGCTATTCATCAGCTGCTCCTGCCTAAGGGTTCCCATGCTACATGCCGGTTTAATGATCTTACACATCAGTTTTAGGACCTCCAGGAAAAACACATCACCATCAGACAAAACCTAAGTTCACACCTGTCCCAACTTAACAACTGCTACTTCCCACTGAACTCCATGTGTATCCACAGCCTATGGAAGCTTCCAGAAAAAACAACAGGCTTGGGGGCCAGTGCTGTGGCATAGCAGGTGAAGCTGTCGCCTGCAGCGCCAGCATCCCACATGGGCGCTGGTTTGGGTTCTGGCTGTTCCACTTCCCATCCAGCTCTCTGCTGTGGCCTGGGAGGGTAGTGGAGGATGGCCCAGGTCCTTGGGCCCCTGCACTGCGTGGGAGACCCAGAAGAAACTCCTGGCTCCTGGCTTTGGATTGGTGCAGCTCCAGCTGTTGCAGCCAATTGGGGAGTGGACCAGCAGATGGAGGACCTCTCTCTGTCTCTCTCTCTTTCTCTGCCTCTCCTTCTCTCTGTGTAACTCTTTCAAATGAATAAATAAATATTAAAAAAATAAATAAAAATAAAGGACATTAAAGGAAGAAATAGCACTCACTTAAAAAAAAAAAAACGGACGTGGAGCTGGGACGCAGGGCAGGGTGGGGGCGTGGGTCTCTGGCACAGGGGAGGGTGGGAGGGTCTTACAGAGGCAGCACACAGCACCAAAGCCAATGTTTTCCAAAACTGAACTCGGGACCAAGGAAAACAACCTCGGACTCTTGAGGTCAAAGCCACGCTATGCACTATTCCGACTCACAAGTCACCCATCTCTCCCCAAAGACCCATCCATTCAGTCATTCAAGTCCACGGTCATTAACCCCAGGACCACCAAGCAGACAAGAGAGCACCAAGGCCATACAAGACTTACCCTTTTCCTTCAACTATCGCTTCTTTAAGATGAATATACGAAGCAGGAAATATACCCTTGGTGGGGGTGGAGAAAAGAAAAGACAGTCATTTTTATTATCAACATGCCGAGTGGCAGCAAATCAAACAAGTGCCCCCAAAACATGGGGCAGAGCAGGCTGGATCACTGTTAGCTTTGCAAGCCTCACATCATGCCTCACACACATCAAATGTCACTGCTGTCAACTCAACAGAGTCGAGGGATGTGCTGGGAGAGAACAGACCACACACCTCCAGAAGGGGCAGGAAGCTCCTGGTCTCCGCAAGCCACACCTGCTTCCACTGCTGAGCAAGACGCAGGCAGACCAGAGCCCCCCCAACGCCTCAGAAATAACTCTGGACGGAGGACTAACAGGTTCCCCTTTCAAAACGGCGAGACTGTCTCTGAAAGTCGGTTTCACCCAGCAGTCATCACCTATGCACTGACCACCTACCTGGACCCACAGGGGCTCTCCCAGAAATCTCTGGGGGGGGGGGGCAACTGATAAAATATGGGAAAATGGGTTGAATTCTGCCCAAACAGCACAACTTTTGAGGCCACAGTAGCCCAGATTGATATAATCTATACCTGCAAAGTGATGCACACCGGACCCCACAAACACCTGCCCACAGGAGAGCAGCAGCGGGCACGGCCGTGAGGAGCCTGCGGGAGCTGCAGCCAGAGCTGTGGTCCTGGAGTGGCCCCTCGGCGTGGCGGTTAGGCCGCTGCTTGGGATGCCCGGATCCCACATCTCGGTGCTACTCCGCTCCCGCTCCCGCTCCCGCTCCCGGCTAATGCATCCTGGGAGGCAGCAGGTGAGGACCTAGTACCTGTGTCCCCGCCGCCCACGAGGAGACCAGGGTAACGTTCTCAGCTCCTGGCTCTGGCCTGGCCCCGCTCTGCCCACTGAAGGCATCTGGGAAGTGAACCAGGAGATAGGAGGTTTCTCTCTCCCCCACTTCTCCTCTCTAAAGAAAGTTATTTTTTTAAAAAATGCTTCTTAGGGGTTGTGGTGCTGCTTCCTGAACAGGTCAAATGGCCCCCTTACTGCAGGGAAGCCATGACAAGCACAGGAGAGGCACAGAAGGGGCCCTGGGACTGGGACCCTGGCACAGCACAAGGCAGTGTGACACTCAATGCCTGCAGCAGAGACCCACGGAGCAGCACACGGAGCAGCACCCCTGCAGCCCAGGACCCAGGAGCCTCGGACTGGGCTCCCCTGGCTTCTGGTCCCAAAGGGGCCACACCGGAGACCCAAAGAGCCAAGCACGCCTTCGGAAGGGCTGCGGGGTCTAGCAGGTACCCCCAAGTCCCAACCCACCCGCCTCCCAGCAGAAAGGCCCCGTTTCACAGAGAGGCAGGAGGGGAGAAGTCAAGCGACGAAGAGGACAGCTCTGGGATGCTCTGCTCAGGTGCCAGTTCCCTGGGGCACCTCCGAATCTCACCGTGGGTTCCAAGTGCACAGGGGCAGCACAGGTGTGTGCTCAGATGGGGGGAGGGGGAGCCTGCAGACATGACCTCCCGATCTCAGCAAACCCCTAGTGAACCACAAAGCCTCGGGCACAGCGGCCGGAGCAGGCTGGACACAGGTGAGGTTCGTGATGAGCAGCTCTGCCTGGGGCCATTCCGAGCAGCCCAGGTCAGCTGCACCTGTGTGAAGGAGGCTTCCGGACACGGCGGGTCAGGACTCTCCGTCCTGCTCTGCTACTGCGGTACAGGGGGCTGGGGGACAGGAGGGTGTGCTCGCAAAGCTGCAACTCCACAAGGCTTCAGTGTCCTCGTGTGCCAAGGGGAAGATGACCACACCCCTCCCCAGCTCCACCATGCCCGGGACTTGTCGTGTCCGTGCACCCAGTGCAGGGCAACGCACACCCCGGTTCAGGGAGGCTCTCGGGGAAGGGAAACCAAAATCCAAATCAAGGCAGCACCCAGGAAGGCAAACAGCACGGCTGCAGCTCGGCCCCGTTCAGGAGCTGGGGTGGGGAGGCTGTCATTCCAGGATCCTGAGCTCTTTGGGACCCAACTGTGGCCTCCCCAGGTGAAGCTCGATGTTTCCAGAATGTTCTCTGGGTTGCCAAAGGGGAAATGAGCATGCAAATAGAACTTGCTTGTAGAAATCAAGTCCACCAACCTCCTATTCACAATCTCTTGCCCAAACCTCAAGGTTGCAGGTCCCCCGATGTGGACGACTACAGCCCAGTCTGATCCAGGCAGGCCCCTTCCCAACAGTGCCTCCCACACTAGGACATGGATGTGACCGCCCACGGGGCCAACTGGGCCCTTCACAGGCCACGTGAGCCGACCGGCCCAGCCTGGCTCAGGCCCTGGGGAAGGCAGAGCAGGGAGGCCCCGGTGCCAGAGCCACAAGACTCTAGAAGCCTCATTAAAGGCTTCGGCCGCGGTCAGGAGTCCATCCCAACAGGAGATAATGAGAAGCAAATTTAAGACGCAGAAGTAAAATGAACCATCTGTCAAGCATAATTAGATATTAAAACGGGTGAGCTAACGTGGACTGCCTAGCCACAACCTAGAATGGAAGTGACTTCAAAATCCTGGCAACACAGGCCAGGGGCGTGTCCACCGCAGTGCCCCCGGGAAATGACAAGTCTCCGTTTCAGAAAGTCCCACAGACACACATGCCAACTGCACTGGGAGAGCCCAAGTCAGCTGCAGCCGCGCAGAAAGTCCCAGAAAGGCAGATGTGCGGGCACGCGCTGGCAGACTCGTCTGTCATCGGGGACGAGGCCCCGAGGAGACTGAGAACATTCTCCCTGGAAGTCACTGAACCCGGAAGATTCCACCAGGCAGGAGCACAGGCCAGCGCACGTCACAACTCACCTTCACGCCACGACTTCCGCGTCCACATACCGTGCGAAGAGATCAACTCGAAGCAGTTCACGTTTGAACACGGATTAGTTTTTTAATTCACAGAAAGAGATATATAAGCAAAACACTGAACCCAATGAGATGGAATCGATTTAATGGAAGGACTTACCTTCTTAGACTTCCTCCTCAAGGTGTAACCTCTGTACCACCCTAAACAAAGGCAAAGTCGAGAGTCAGTACACGGGCTGACACGGGCCCACGCTCAGTACACGGCTGACACAGGCCCCGCGCTCAGTCCACGGCTGACACGGACCCACACTCAGTCCACGGGCTGACCAGGCCCACGCTCAGTACACGGCTGACACGGGCTCTGCGCTCAGTCCATGGCTGACACGGGCCCCACGCTCAGTACACGGGCTGACAAGGGCCCCACGCTCAGTCCACGGCTGACCAGGCCCACGCTCAGTACACGGGCTGACACGGGCCCCACACTCAGTACCCGGGCTGACACGGGCCTCACGCTCAGTACACGGCTGACATGGGCCCCACGCTCAGTACACGGGCTGACACGGGCCCACGCTCAGTCCACGGCTGACCAGGCCCACGCTCAGTACACGGGCTGACACAGGCCCCACACTCAGTACCCAGGCTGACATGGGCCCCACGCTCAGTACACGGCTGACATGGGCCCCACGCTCAGTCCACGGCTGACACAGGCCCACGCTCAGTACACGGCTGACATGGGCCCCACACTCAGTACTCGGGCTGACATGGGCCCCACGCTCAGTCCACGGCTGACACGGGCCCCGTGCTCAGTACATGGCTGACACAGGCCCATGCTCAGCACATGGCTGACACAGGCCCCACACTCAGTACACGGGCTGACACGGGCCCCACACTCAGTCCACAGCTGACACGGGCCCCACGCTCAGTCCACGGCTGACACGGGCCCACACTCAGTCCACGGGCTGACATGGGCCCATGCTCAGTACATGGACTGACACGGGCCCCCATGCTCAGTACACGGGCTGACACGGGCCCCACACTCAGTACATGGACCGACATGGGTCCCCAGCCACCCTCACAATCCGTACACGGGCTGACACAGGCCCTCAGCCATCCTCACACTCAGCACATGGACTGACACGGGCCCCCAGCCACACTCAAACTCAGTACATGAGCTGACATGGGCCCCCAGCCGCCATCACAATCCGTACACGGGCTGACACGGGCCCCCAGCAGCCCTCACGCTCAGCACACGGGCTGACACGGGCCCCCAGCCGCCCTCACGCTCAGCACACGGGCTGACACGGGCCCCCAGCCGCCCTCACGCTCAGCACACGGGCTGACACGGGCCCCCAGCCGCCCTCACGCTCAGCACACGGGCTGACACGGGCCCCCAGCCGCCCTCACGCTCAGCACACGGGCTGACACGGGCCCCCAGCCGCCCCTTCCTGCCACGGGGACCTCAGCGCGCTGCAGAAGCAGGGAAGTGTCTCTGTCACAGAAGCCGCAGCCCTAACACTGCGGGGTGCCTTGTGGGGGTCACACAGGGCATTCCAACCCTTGCCGGACACGTCTTGGTAGCCCAGGGCCTTCGCCACCCAGCCCTGCCCACGTGCCCCCCGGGCCCTCCCAAGCAGCCGTCTGAAGCTGAGAGACACACACCCCAACCGCATGGAGCAGGCGCTGGCAAAGCCGTCTCCTAAGTCTCCCTGGGCCTGCTGGGATGGGGTCTCTCCTGCTGCACAACCAAGAACTGCCCCAGACAGAAAACCTATTGAGGGCAAACTTCCTCCCCGGGTGGCCCAGCCTCACAGAGATTCAGTAGCAAACTCCACCCTGCACAGGAAGCTCTGGGCCCATCCACCCCCTCGGGGCCTGGCCAGGACTCAACTTCCCATCCACCGGGTGGTGAGGGAGAGAGATCAGCATGGGCAGAGGGGAGACACAGAGCTGTCAGCGGGCAGTAACTGCGGGAGGGAAGAGGCCCTTCTGTGACTCGGGCCTGACCACAGCCTTGGCAGCTCCCAGCAGCCTGATGGGAGACTCGTCCCTGCAAATGTCCTGGGGTCCACACCCGATGCCCCCATCACTGCGTGATGCACACAGCATCTTCTCATCCCAAACATCTGGGGTCTCTGGGCTTTTTATTATTATTATTACTTATTTTCATTCTACTAGAAATGCAGGAAAGCAGAGACAGACAAAAAGAGAGTGAGATTGTCCATCAGCTGGTCACTCCTCAAATGCCTGTGATAGCCAGGGCTGGGCCAGACTGAAGCCGGGAGCCCGGAATTCAATCTGGGTCTCCCAAGTGGGTGGCAGGAACCCAAGCACTGGAGCCATCATCTGCTGCCTCCCAATATGTGCATCAACAGGAAGCTGGATCAAAAGTGGAGGTGGGACTCAAACCCTGGTGGTCCAATAGGGGGTGTGGGCAGCCCAGGCAGGGTCTCCACTGCCATGTCCAAGGCCTACCCCGAGGCAGCGCCAGCCGGCTTCAGGAAAGCCAACCGGAAGCTCACAGGCAAATCCTGACTCTGCTCCACGAAGAGTTAGGGAGAGCACTGGAAAGTGACCGCTGAGAGAGCTAACAAAGAGTGGCTTTTTGTATAGAAGTGAAACCTCAGAAACCGGGGTATATATCAGAGAGACAGAGAGACTGAGAGAGAGAGGCAGAGAGAGAGAGAGACTGAGACAGAGAGAGACAGAGACAGAGACAGAGACAGAGAGACTGAGACAGAGAGAGACAGAGAGAGACAGAGACAGAAAGAGACAGAGAGACTGAGACAGAGACAGTGAGAGACTGAGACAGAGAGAGACTGAGAGAGACAGAGAGACTGAGAGACAGAGACAGAAAGAGACAGAGAGGGAGACTGAGAGACAGTGACAGTGAGAGACTGAGACAGGAAGAGAGACAGAGACAGAGACAGAGAGAGAGAGAGGGGACGGGCAAGCTGAGACGGAGATGAAAGTGGGCTGCTGCTGCACCAGCTGGCCCCCAGCCCTGCCAAAAAGGCAGAGGGGAAGAGGAAGACCGTGAAGCAGAAGGCAATGGTGCTAAATGAGCAACATCGAAGCCTGCACTGTTGCACGGCGGGTTCAGCCACGCCCACGAGGCCGGCATTTCACGAGTGCTGGAGCGAGCCCCAGCTGCTCTGCTTCCAATCCAGCTTCCTGCTTGTGCACAGCAAAGGCAGCAAAAGATGGTCACGTGCTTGGGTCCTGCCCCCTATGGAGACCCAGATGAATTTCCAAAGTCCTGGCTTCGGCCTGGCCCAGCCTTGGCCATTTCAGCCATGTGGGGGAGGGGAACCCGGATGGACGCTCTCTCTGTCCCTCTTTCTTTTCAAATAAATACTTTTTTAAAATGAGCAACATCTTCAAGGAATTATTAAACAGTTGTTCTCAGAACACTAAGAAAAGACCGGAACTCCGGCAGCCTTGCAAGGGGTGAGCTGAGCCCCAGTCACAGCCAAGTGAATCATCCCCTTCTGTGACCAAACACTGATCGGGAGCACAGCAGAGAGGCTGGCTCCTGGAAGCCACACTGAAGACCCTGGCCCAGAACCGGCGCACAGACAGGACCGCGGAAAAGCAAAGACGCATGGGAGAGTCGCCTGGAAGCTGCATTTACCCAGCTTAAAGGACCAGCCTTTATCCTATCAGGGTAGCCTTCCTGGCTCTTCCTTCTCTGAAGCTGACAAAGGGTTAATGTCTGGGACTACACACAGAAATACTGCAAAGAGACAAGAAAAAGACAGCCGATTCAACAAATGAGGTAAGTTCATAAACAATGGAGAAGCAGCCCCCAAAGGATGACACGGCTATGAAGAGACGCTCAGACTTAATCACCACCAGAGAAATGAAAGCTTAAAACCCAGCCTCGCTGCACACGGAGCAACAGCGGCCGAAATGGGCCCGCGACAGGATGCCGTGGCCCGGGGCACTGGGAGCGGAGTGTGGACGGCAGCTAGCAGTGGGGCGTGCAGCCTCTGCTCACCCCGCATCACAGCCCCTGCAGAGACCCGGCCACCCCCTCCCGGGAACAAAGCCCAGAGACATCTGACAGCCTGGGCAGAGCGAGGCCTGCAGAGCAGGGACATGACGCACACACAGCACAGCCCAGTGTGGCAGGAAGGGGAGCCCATCGAGGTGCCCATGATGGGGGAGGCAGCTGGGGGGAGGTGGGACGCGCACACACAGGGCAGTCAGAGGCACGGGCTAAGCAGATGGGGGTGACGGGAGTGCATCCCAAAGTTCACCATCGCACACAGAATGAGCACCATAAGCTAACTACTCCAGCACACAGCTAAAGTAGCCCCACACCAGGTAGTGCAGGCACACGGCAAGGCAGAGTCCACCCGGGCACCAGCGGAGGGGCAGGGCTAAAAGGCCAGCAGGCTCGCTTTAGTTAATGTTCACAGAGGGCGGCTTCTCTTGTTAACAGCGAAAGGAACACCTTTGGGTTTCCTCCCGAGACGTGGCTACAAGCATTGCTCCTCCAACGAACTGAGCCAGAGAGCGCCCTGGGCAGCACAAACACAGCCAACAGCCCGGACCCTGTGTGCCCTCGTGAGCTCACAGACTGCAAGGTCCCTCCGACAGGCAGGGGTCAACCGACAACCCAGGTCACATAACTGGCAGTCTGGAGGAGACAGGAGGTCAGGGCAGGGACTGAGGGCACGTCGGGGGAGATTCACAACAGGCTGCTGGCTAAGTCCCCCAGGCAGGGCTTGTAGCTGACCAACCTGCCCCAAACGAGAGACAGCCACGCAAGCAAGCACAGGCACGCTTCCTGAACAGAGCAAGAGCCTGGGGCGGCCTGGGAGACGGGCAGTTGAGGCGTGACACAGGCCAGCACGTCCTGACCCCTTTCAAAGCCGTGGATCAACTGAGCTCAGCTGTCTGGGCCGAAGCAAGGGATTCACCTCATCTTTGTGCGATGGCTGCAGCTTCCCCCAGGTGCGGCACTCGGCCCACGGGGACCCTAACAGAGAGGAGGACACAGCAGAGAGCCCCTGCTGGGCACCCCGTGGCACCCCCATGGCCACAGTGGCTCTTGCCTGACCATCGTCGGGCTGACCTGGACACTGCTGGCCGTGAGTCCTCTCCACGCTATGCCCACCTGCAGAGTGACCTGGACATCTCCTTCTCTTCACTCCATGCTCTGGACCCCTCCTGAGCCCCAGAGAGACAACAGCCGTAACTCGAGGGTAAACTGGTCATCCGAACCATAAAGGCTGACCGCCTAGAAACCCTATCTCTGGAGCAAGCTCAGTAGATTCCGAACGCAACCCCTGGAGAAGGAAGGCAAACCTGACCACGGGAAAAATGTTCTTACAGCCTGAGGTAGGGAGGAGGGAAGAGAGAAAAATGCCAAGTTCCAAGAAAACCACGAAACTTAGAGCGGGATGCAGAGGTGGGAAATGATGGAAGGTCGTGACCCCACTGTGTCTGACGACAAGAAAGCACCGGGCTCCCCCAAAGTCAAAACTACCTCCCGTGTGCCCCTCTCTGCTCGGATTCTGATTAAATCCAAAAAGTGAGTTGTCAGGGAAGGGGAATTCATTTTACACTAAAGAGTCTTTGCAGCCGACGCCGCGGCTCACTAGGCTAATCCTCCGCCTTGTGGCGCCAGCACATTGGGTTCTAGTCCTGGTCGGGGCACCAGATTCTGTCCCGGTTGCCCCTCTTGCAGGCCAGCTCTCTGCTGTGGCCCGGGAGTGCAGTGGAGGATGGCCCAAGTGCTTGGGCCCTGCACCCCATAGGAGACCAGGAGAAGCACCTGGCTCCTGGCTTCGGATCAGCGCGGTGTGCCGGCCACAGCATGCCAGCCACAACGGCCATTGGAAGGTAAACCAACGGCAAAGGAAGACCTTTCTCTCTGTCTCTGTCTCTCTCACTGTCTACTCTGCCTGTAAAAAAAAAAAAAAAGAGTCTTTGCAAAGACTGAAACATGTTCACCAGAATCTTGGAAGATTAGCTGGGAAACTCAAGAACTTCCTCTATCGGGACGCCGGCCAGGACATCAAAGGCCAACTATGGAAGCTTCCCAGAGGGCGCAGGACGAGGGCCAGGGATGGCCTGAGGACCACGCTGCTCAGCGCCCCTCCCTCCCGGGAAGCCTCTGCCTCCCCGGGTAGGACGACACCGCCCAGGGCTTGTTCTCCAGGCTTTCCGCCTCCACTAGCCGGAGGCAAACATGAAAAAGACGTCAGAGCAATTTCCCTTCATCGGAGACGGGCGGCTTGCTCCTTAACCTCCACTTAACTTCTGTGTGTTTCCCGCAGCCAGGGGCACGACGTCCCGAGAGGAGATAAGGAAATCCCACCGTCAGCTGACAAACTGAAAACTAGCAGAAGGCTAGTCACGAGCCCTCGCCCACTAAGGCCTGGCCATGCTTTGCAGCTGCAGCTGCTCCCGGGCAGAGGCCGACCGAGTGTCGGGTAGTTCAACAGGAAGAGGGTGCACGCAAGGGAATTCCAAGCCAGCATGCATCGGACGGGCCCTGACGACGCGGGACACCTGGGACACAGCCTGAGGGCCACTCACTCCTGGCAAGGCACCTGGCAGAGACGGAGCGGAGAGTCCAGGCCCCTGATTGCTGGGGGGGTCCACGATCTCCCCTTCCACTTGGAAGTCTTCAGCTATGCACAGCCCGAAAGCTGCCCGCCTTAATCAGCTCTTCTTCAGAGGAGACGTGGGCATCACCCCGGCGAGCAGGAAACGAAGCCAAAAACAAGAAAGCGTGATCATACAAGACCTGCCGCCTGAGCAGCCTGAAAAGCCAAGCGTGCCTCGGCTTCCTCCCCGCGGCACGAAGCCAGACACGGCTCCCTCAAGTCATCCGCAGGACGCCACGCCGGCCACGTGGGAGGCAAGGACGCTGGGCACCACTGCCGTCCACAGGATTCCTGTTGGGTAGTCTAACAATCGCTGCACGGGACCACATCCCGAATAACGCGACAATCTGCTCGGGGATCGTAGATTATTTTTAAAATGGAAAGAAAATAAGAATCGCCCTGTGGCTCCTTGGAGACATGCTAACAAATCTAAGCGTCAGTATATATTTTTTTTTTGACAGGCAGAGTTAGACAGTGAGAGAGAGACAGAGAGAAAGGTCTTCCTTCCGTTGGTTCACCCCCCCAAATGGCCACTACGGCCGGCGCTGCGCCGATCCGAAGCCAGGAGCCAGGTGCTTCCTCCCAGTCTCCCATGCAGGTGCAGGGACCCAAGCACTTGGGCCATCCTCCACTGCCCTCCCAGGGCCACAGCAGAGAGCTGGACTAGAAAAGGAGCAACCGGGACTAGTACCCGGTGCCCCAACCGGGACTAGAACCCGGTGTGCCGGCGCCACAGGCAGAGGATTAGCCAAGTGAACCGCGGTGCCGGCCCTAAGTGTAGGTATTGAAAAAAAAAAAAAAAAAAACTCACAACACACATCAGACACATCCAAAGAATGACCTGAACACTAAAAGATCTGTCTTCAGTGTGGTTTATACATAGCCAGCTACCCAGTCAAGCCTTACATCAACTTGCAAAATAAGGAGCCAAGGAGTCTCCTTCTAGAGGTTAAAAATGGAGAATTGAGTTTTCATTCATCTTCTAGGACACCTGTGTTTCCCTGACGCGGTGCTGCACTGCCCAGGAGGCACGGGAAAGTGGGCCCACTGCCCAGCTAAACAACAGCACAATGCGTTCAGACTGGGGGCCGGCACTGTGGCCTAGTGGGTAAATCTGCCGACTGCAATGCCGGCATCCCATATGTGCGCTGGTTCAAGTCCAGGCTGCTCCACTTCCAATCCAGCTGCCTACTACTGACCTGGGAAAAGTAGCAGAAGACGCCCAAGTGCTTGGGCCCCTGCCACTCAAGACCAGGATGAAGCTCCTGGCTCCTGGCTTGGGTCTGGCCCAGCACCGGCCACTGCAGCCATGCAGGGAGTAGACCAGTCTCTGTCTCTCTCTCTCACTCTCTAACACTACATTTCAAGATACATGAATAAATCATAAAAAATGCATACACACCTTCATAAGTCTCCAAGATGTGCACGGTGTCTCCTATTTGCAGAGAAAGTTCATCTGCTCCCCTGGCATCGTAGTTGTAAAAAGCTGTGGAGAAGAAAAGGAAAAACACATTAATAGCGGCAGAAGTGCCTGTGCTGGGTGATTTTTGCTTACTTTGAATGTTGCTTGTTTTCAGTATTGAAAGAAAAAAAAAAGGCTTTGCCGGGATCACCCTCTCCAATACCCACAACAGCAGTCTTTTCCTTGAGAGACACAAAAAGCCGCTCGCCTGAACAGCAGAATTCCTAACAACCCAAAACACCAGACATCCACAGCAGTTACTTCATCGTGGCACAACAGGTAACATAAAACTTGCCACTTTCACCTTTTATATGCAAATAACTCAGTGATGGCAATTGTGTCCTCAGTGACGTGCAACCCTCACCCCACCTATTTCCAAACGCTGCACCACTCCGCACGGAAGCCGCGTGCTGGCTGGGGCCGAATCCCTAGCAACTTCTCCTCCACTGCCCGTCCTGTGAACACGCTGCTCCAGGAACCTCACAGAAGTAGAACTGGACCGTCTGTCCTTCCGTGTCCGACCCCATCACTTAGGGAAATGTCCCCCCGCAGGGCCCATGTTGCGCCACAGTCACAGCCTCACTCCGCTCAGGCCTGAAGAACAGTCCACTTACGTGAGAGCCTACAAAACAAAGGAAACTGAAGACCTTCTTAGCAGCCTTGTAATCGCCACCTCACACGAGATCTTTCATTCCCACTGTAGATTTTATTTCTCTATGAACTAATAGCACATGACCTGAATATTCTTTTGACCAAACTGATTCGAAAAAACTGTCATGTGACCAAATGTTGATATTAAGCCAAGAGACTTCATTGCAATCACAGTAGATAAAAATACGCCCACCATCAAAAAGAAATGCTTCAAACTGACGGCGACACCCAACCATGTCTAAAATCCCCAGTGTTTGTCCTGATACACAGCATCCTGGAAAAGGCTGCGCATCTCTGAAATAAGCACACTGGAAGTTCTCCCCTTAAATTCAATCATACTCAGGTCAAACATCACTGTCACAAAGGAAACGGACGAGGTGTTCACAGCCCCAGGTATTTAGCTTGCCCACGCCCTACGCGATCGATTGTACCCGAAAGATCCCAGCCTTCGGTGTGCACTCCTTTGCAAAACCCCCAAACTTCTCACGCCAGCATCCCGCACCCACCAGCAGGACGAGGCTGGGCTCAGGTCACATCCTTCATGCTCCCTCACCTCACCCCATGAAATTCCCCCGGCAAGTGTGGCGGGCCACCTCCACCTGGGACACTATCCCACCTCCTCCCAGCCACACTGCCTTGCCTGGGCCCTGCTTCCCACAGAAGGAAAGGAGCCAGCCTGCCCATGCCCGCGCACAGGGCTCTGCCTTGGCTGCTGGACCTCCCAGAGACAGAGCCCCGTCAAGAAAGCCGGGCCCACGGTGTGTCTGCTCTTCCAACTCTTTGTCCATCATTAGCTGGAGAAGCCAGACTGATGACAGAGGTGTGTGCGTGTGTGTGTGTGTGTGTGTGTGTGTGAAGACGTCCCCACTAAAGGAAAAACTATCAGAGAGCAGGAGGCCACACACTTTCCCATCATTCATTCATGCCGGCACTGCCAAGGACAGGCGGCTGCTTGGCGGAACAAGGGGTGGCCTTGACAAACCCGAGTGGCCTGAAGTGTCTCGGGCTGGCAGAGAATCTCAAATCTCAGGCCACACAGCCCTCATGTGCTCTGGGAAGATGGACCAAGGAGGCCCCAGCCTGACCGCCTGGATGGTCTCTCCATCTTTGGTTTCTCAATCTGTAAAACAAGGACAGTGATATACGTGTCTCACAGAACTGTGTGTGCCTATTTTAGACTTCTATCCACTTACTTAGAGAGACAGAGAATCTCCCCACCAACTGGTTCATTCCCAAATGTCTGCCACAGCCAAGGTTGGGCCAGGCGGAAGCTGGAGCCAGGATCCAAACCCAGGTCTCTCATGTGGGTGTCAGGGACCCAGGTCTCTCATGGGGGTGTCAGGGACCCAGGTCTCTCACGTGGGTGTCAGGGACCCAGGTCTCTCACGTGGGTGTCAGGGACCCAGGTCTCTCATGGGGGTGTCAGGGACCCAGGTCTCTCATGTGGGTGTTAGGGACCCATACACGAGAGCCATCACCTGCTGCCTCTGAGAGTGCATATTAGCAGGAAGTAAAAATCAAGAGACGAGCCAGGCCTCACGCCCAGGTCCTCTGATACAGGATGCAAGCATTCCAGTGACAGCTTAACCTCAGGCCAATGCCCACCCCCAGAACCACACTTTGTGTCTTAAAGCAAATAATGCCGCCGATGGGTCTGGCGCAAGGGTGTCCACAGTGAGTGCCTGGAGGTCCCTAAGACACCTGCTGCTACCACAACTCTTCTCAAAAGCTGCAGCACCAACACCTCCACACGTTCACAAAAATTCTGAACCAAAGACCATCCGTAGGCAGAAAATCCAAATTCCACTTTCTATGGTATTTTCCTACATTTTTCCCCAAACTCATAAACTTTAAGTGGCTGTAACTGACAAAAATGGCTCTTATTAGCAGTTATTAAGTTTACTTAGCATTTTGTAGTGAGTCTTTATCAAGAAGTACCTGTGTCAGGTACAGAAAGCCCAGAGCATACGCTCGCTGTCCCCAGCTCAGCACAGCCACATCTTTAAGCCTTTAGGAAACATACATGCATTTATCACAGTGTGCACCGCATCCCTGCCTGTTCTGGCATAGATGTCGAGAAATGAACGCTTCAAATATAACACGAAATCAGATGAGCGTGCCACGTGTACATACGTCCAGTCGTGGGCACTGGTGAAGAAGGGACACAGATTCCATCCTCAGCGTCTCCCCCTCTGCACACCCTACCCCTCCCCGATGTGGACAACAGAAGGCAACAGACACAGGAGCTCACGCTCAACCCTGAAAGGAGCCGAGAGTCTGATCTTACAGGTGAAGGAGAAGGATGTCAGGGGGCTACGACGGGGTCCCAGGTCACACAAGACAGCTGCCCGGCCCCAGCCCTGGTTCATTTTAGGGTTCACAACTACACCGTCCCATAAATAAAGGCAAATTTAAAACGCGACTACTCACAGGCATTTGACCGGGAGGGAGAGAGAGGAGGAAGCGTGGCAGACAGAATAGTGGCGCACCCCAGACAGCCCCGTCCAAAGCCTCAGAAGCCGTGTGCCACCCGACACGGACAGCGGGGCACTGCAAGGGGTCAAGCCCATGACCCCGAGAGGGAGGCCTTGATGCTGGATTCTGTGGTGGGGCCAAGGTTGACACAGGTCCTCACTGGAGGGAGGCAGGAGGCTGGAGTCCAGAGGGAAGGAGAGGGGGTCCAAGTCATACAAGAAAGGGCAAAGGTGGGCGGGTGGTTAGCCGGGCGGTTAAGGCACCGGTGAAGATGCCGTGTCCTGTGTCAAAGTGCCTGGGTTCGAAACCCAGCCCCCAGCTCTCGACTGCGGCTTCCTGCTAACGCTCACCCTGGGAGCCAGCAGAGACGGCTCCAGGAAGTGGGTCTCTGCCACTCACGTGGGAGCCCGGGACGGAACTCAGGCTCCCAGCCATGGCAGGCATCTGAGGAGTGAATCGGCAAACAGGAGAGCTCACCTGCGCGCGCGCGCTCTCTCTCTCTCTCTCTCTGCCTCTCATGTTAATAAATAAAAACTTAGAAATATACGAGGGGCAACATCAAGCCAAAGAGGCAGCAGCCTCCAGAAGTGGCTTCTCCCTGCACCTGCGGAGAAACTCAGCCCTGCCGACAGCCTGCCCCAAGACGTCTCCCGCGGCATAAGACGGCGCATGTGCTCATTTGCGAGAACAGCAGCAAGGAACGGTGGGTAAAGTGCCCACGAGCACTACAGGCACACACGCACTGCGCTGCTCATTTATCCGTTCCTCAGTGCAGGAGGCGCCCCTACTACCGGCACCCAAACCTGACAGTTCCACGGCTGTAGGTCCCGAATCTCCAGTCATCTGAGAAGGCCCAGGACAATGCAGGATATATATATATATATATATATATATATATATATATATATAGACAGGCAGAGTGGACAGTGAGAGAGAGAGACAGAGAGAAAGGTCTTCCTTTGCCATTGGTTCACCCTCCAATGGCTGCCGCGCTGGCGTGCTGCGGCCGGCGCACCACACTGAGCCGATGGCAGGAGCCAGGTGCTTCCTCCTGGTCTCCCATGCTGGTGAAGGGCCCAAGCACTTGGGCCATCCTCCACTGCACTCCCGGGCCACAGCAGAGAGCTGGCCTGGAAGAGGGGCAACCAGGACAGAATCCGGTACCCCAACCGGGACTAGAACCCGGTGTGCCGGCGCTGCAGGCGGAGGATTAGCCTAGTGAGCCACGGCGCTGGCGAATGCAGGAAATTTTTAAAAAATAAACAGACCCTTCCCTATTCTGATTTTTCAACCTTTCCAAGTGGTCCCTTACAGGGAGGGGGAAGGGCAGGGAGGAGGAAGAGCGGAGCATCTCCCTTGGAGACAGTGAGGACAGCGGCACTGGGCTTAACGAGGCGGCGCACGAGGACGGTGCTTATGGTGTCACTGGCTTTTCTCCTTTCTTTCCCTGGTCAGTTGAGGTCTGGGAACGACTCCAGAGGAGAGCAGTCATCACGGCCCAGCTGCTTCTGGGACTGTGTGGGGCTGTTTGCTTCGTCCAGCCTCCTTCTCAAACCCATCTGCCTCCGGTACAGCCTGGACACCGAGGGCACCAGGGCACGCACGTCCATTGGACTCTCACTCCTGGACACACTGTCCAGTGTGGAAGCGTCACTGCTGCTGGTGTGGGAAACGCGCAGGCAGACACCAAGCACCTGATGGTAGCTCCTGGTTGCTTTGTCTATTTCTCTTGCTGCAGGAGACAGCAGCAGCCCAGAGTGAGTACGCGGATCTGTTTGCTCCAATAAAAAATTAACACTGTGATCTGCGCCTCACTGACGACGTGCAGCAGACTCATCACTGCCGCTCAATCACCTGCTCTTAACAGCTTCCCGGTGGTTTTAGGGGAAGAACTGTGG